CCTTCTCTGAGCTAGTTTTTTACATGTTTACAAATCTGCATACTCAATTTAAAATTTTAAAATATTCAAATTTTTATCAATTTTTTACAATTTTAATGATGTAACCCCTTATAAAATTTTGAAAAAATTGCAAAAAATTTGTTTTCATCCAAACACGGCCAGATCGACTCTCCTGTTAATGCTGATCAAGAATATATATACTTTATAGGATCGGAAATGGCTCCTTCGCCGATTAAAATTATATTTTTCTCTGCAAGATTCTTGAAATCGACATTTTTATTTAATAATTTTGTAAGTATTATTTGGGACAATCAAAGTTTAAAAATCGCATAAATGTGTTAAAAATTCATTAATTTCAATTCGGAAAGCGTTCTTGGTTTCGTTGATTGGAGGTTTACAAATCTGCATACTACACTTCATTTGTTCCTGTGTTAGGTTTTTGGAGGTAAATAATGTATATTTGAAAAATGTTTTTTAAATCGATTTTTTTATACCATATACTTTGGGACAATGAAAGTTTAAAAATCGCATAACTATGTTAAAAATGCATTAATTTTAATTCGGAAACCTTCTCTGAGCTAGTTTTTTACATGTTTACAAATCTGTATACTCAATTTAAAATTTTAAAATATTCAAATTTTTATCAATTTTTTACAATTTTAATGATGTAACCCCTTATAAAATTTTGAAAAAATTGCAAAAAATTTGTTTTCATCCAAACACGGCCAGATCGACTCTCCTGTTAATGCTGATCAAGAATATATATACTTTATAGGATCGGAAATGGCTCCTTCGCCGATTAAAATTATATTTTTCTCTGCAAGATTCTTGAAATCGACATTTTTATTTAATAATTTTGTAAGTATTATTTGGGACAATCAAAGTTTAAAAATCGCATAAATGTGTTAAAAATTCATTAATTTCAATTCGGAAAGCGTTTTTGGGTTCGTTGATTGGAGGTTAACAAATCTGCATACTACACTTTATTTGTTCCTGTGTTAGGTTTTTGGAGGTAAATAATTTATATTTGAAAATGTTTTTTAAATCGATTTTTTTATACCATATACTTTGGGACAATGAAAGTTTAAAAATCGCATAACTATGTTAAAATGCATTAATTTTAATTCGGAAACCTTCTCTGAGCTAGTTTTTTACATGTTTACAAATCTGCATACTCAATTTAAAATTTTAAAATATTCAAATTTTTATCAATTTTTTACAATTTTAATGATGTAACCCTTATAAAATTTTAAAAAAATTGCAAAAAATTTGTTTTCATCCAAACACGGCCAGATCGACTCTCCTGTTAATGCTGATCAAGAATATATATACTTTATAGGATCGGAAATGGCTCCTTCGCCGATTAAAATTATATTTTTCTCTGCAAGATTCTTGAAATCGACATTTTTATTTAATAATTTTGTAAGTATTATTTGGGACAATCAAAGTTTAAAAATCGCATAAATGTGTTAATTTCAATTCGGAAAGCGTTCTTGGGTTCGTTGATTGGAGGTTTACAAATCTGCATACTACACTTCATTTGTTCCTGTGTTAGGTTTTTGGAGGTAAATAATGTATATTTGAAAAATGTTTTTTAAATCGATTTTTTTATACCATATACTTTGGGACAATGAAAGTTTAAAAATCGCATAACTATGTTAAAAATGCATTAATTTTAATTCGGAAACCTTCTCTGAGCTAGTTTTTTACATGTTTACAAATCTGCATACTCAATTTAAAATTTTAAAATATTCAAATTTTTAACAATTTTTTACAATTTTAATGATGTAACCCCTTATAAAATTTTGAAAAAATTGCAAAAAATTTGTTTTCATCCAAACACGGCCAGATCGACTCTCCTGTTAATGCTGATCAAGAATATATATACTTTATAGGATCGGAAATGGCTCCTTCGCCGATTAAAATTATATTTTTCTCTGCAAGATTCTTGAAATCGACATTTTTATTTAATAATTTTGTAAGTATTATTTGGGACAATCAAAGTTTAAAAATCGCATAAATGTGTTAAAAATTCATTAATTTCAATTCGGAAAGCGTTCTTGGGTTCGTTGATTGGAGGTTAACAAATCTGCATACTACACTTTATTTGTTCCTGTGTTAGGTTTTTGGAGGTAAATAATTTATATTTGAAAATTGTTTTTTAAATCGATTTTTTTATACCATATACTTTGGGACAATGAAAGTTTAAAAATCGCATAACTATGTTAAAAATGCATTAATTTTAATTCGGAAACCTTCTCTGAGCTATTTTTTTACATGTTTACAAATCTGTATACTCAATTTAAAATTTTAAAATATTCAAATTTTTATCAATTTTTTACAATTTTAATGATGTAACCCCTTATAAAATTTTGAAAAAATTGCAAAAAATTTGTTTTCATCGAAACACGGCCAGATCGACTCTCCTGTTAATGCTGATCAAGAATATATATACTTTATAGGATCGGAAATGGCTGCTTCAATGTTTTTCAAGCTGTTTACTAAAACTATAATACCCTTAAGGGGTATAGAAAGTGTGATATTTTTCTAGCCACTTTGTTATATTTCTTACTCACAGAAGAGCAATTTTTACTAACACTAAATCCTTAAGTAAATGTTAAATATTTTAAGAGGTTTTTAACCGATTTATTTACTTTATTAAAATAGGAAATCACATTTGTCATAAAGTTCTTAAAATATTCATCTACCTGTTCACCAGTTACCAGCTAAAACCCTTTAAAAATTCTAGTGTAAGTCAAGATAAAAAGAGTGTTGATTCTGTTACAACTTTTACTTGATTAGTTTGAATTTAAAAATTAATATTTGATTGCAAAATTACTTTGTTTTATTTGAATATTTTTAAGAAATTTAAAATATGAGATTATAAAAAATTTCACTGATTTAAATATGAAAACCAGGTAGAGGATATTCCGTATTCGACTTACATATACATTTATTTTTCGGTCATTCTGCGGGCGTTTTGATAGTTTTCTAAATTGAATTTGATTTGCTTGGGAAAAATGAAAATCTCTTTAATCTTATTTCTCTATTAGCCAGTGTGCGTATGTGTTTGTGTGCAAAGCCCGCGGAAAAGCGCAACAAAACAAGACCAAGAACGGGCGACATCACAGCGGTAGCGCGAGATAATCATGCGATACTTGAGCACCAATAAAACGAATCCACATGTTCACCAAACGAAACGAGCCAGAAACAGAAGCGGAAAACAGAGACGGAAGGCACACACACACACATACACACACAGCAATGAGTGAGAGGGAGGGAGAGTGCAAAGAACAGTGAGTGACGGAGTGAAGTACAGAGACAAGGAAGACAACAAAAACAAGCTGAGCTGGACAATAACACGACTGCTATTGCTGCTGCCGTTTTGCTGTTTTCGCTTGCCTTTTCTTTAATTTGTATTCTTATTCTTTTTCTGTTGCTTTTTCACCCTAGAGTGGCTAATCAGCATTTTTCGCCATAATTCAATAACACAATTGTCCGTCGAGGAACAGTTACTACGGGTTACGGTTATGTGGCAACCGATGCAGCTGTTTTTTTCTTATATTTCTTTATATTTTAGTTCTTCTCCGGCAATAGGCTGGGGGTTCAAGAAACCCGGCAGCGACGGGGGTGGTGCGATTGGCAAACCATCCCCCAACAAAAAGACACGAAAATCAATTGCATTTGGTACGCGGAAACATATTAATTGATAACTGAACTACGCATGTTATTCATTTCTCTAATTTACATCGTCACGAGACACAACACTAACAACACTAGCCACTAGAGCAATAACAATAACAATAACAGTGCTCAGCAGTGGCGAGGTTTTTCTCTCCCTCCCCCGTGGGCTGATTTTTGTTCTCTCATTTTTTTTCGATTTTGCACCTTCTCTCCTGTTTTGTAACTGGGTCCGATTTTATCCGGCAATGTGGCAAACGGCGTTCTTACCTGTTCTTGTGTGTGTCCGTGTCCGTGTGGGCCCTGGCTCTGGCGCGGGCGTATTGCACTTTTGGCACACGATGTGTTTCACATGAAAAAAACGCGATTTGTTAATAATTTTTAAGCACAGCTAGAGCTGGCAGTACCGCGATGTAGCGGCGATTGCATATCGATGGTTTTGGGGCTGTTATCGATGGGTTTCTTCACCATGTCCTCCACTTTTTTCGGGGTTATTTTTCCTGAAAAAAAAAGGAATAAATATAGATATAAGAATTGTTGCTAATTAGTGAGATATCAGACTTACTTCCACATTTTCTGTATGCAATTCTTTCGGATAACCAGCAGATCAACAGTGCTGCCCATCAATGGAGCTACGCGGCGCCATTTTCGAATCGGAAGGTTCGCATTGATAAGATTACATATTAAAACAAAGGAAGTGAATCACTTTGCCTTGATAAATAATACAAATATCATGCAACGAGCTGTTGGACATGTTTACTTTGTTTTAGATTTTGAAAACTTGAGAGATTTCTGTTAATTTTAAGTGAAATTACAAACAATACAATGAGAGTCAAGGTTTGCAAGTGAAAGAGTCATGTCTGACCTCATAAACCATATATATTCTTGATCAGAATGGTCAGGCAAGTAGATCTAGACAAGTCAGGCAAAAAAAAAAATTTACCCATTTTTTTGAAAATTTGATAAGGGGTTGCATCGTTAAAATGTTCATAAATGGGAAAAAATTTACATGTTTTTAAATCTTAAATTAAGTATGCAGATTTGTTTACCTATAAAACACTTGAAAGTCTGATTTAATAAAAATATTGATCAAAATATGATCATATAAAAATATAGATTCAAGTCATGCACATATTTAAGACCAAAGGTATACGTTATTACTATTTTTTTTTATCTTATGTGCAAAATACTTAACTGTTCGTTTAACAAAAGAAATAACAATTGGTAACTTTTTTGTTCCACAACTCCTTTCTTTTATGTACATTTTATTTGTTAACCCAAGAGTGGTTCAAGTGAACCCCAATCAAAGCAGTTTACTTATTTTTGTAGTTTTTGTTTATTTAATAATAGATTAATTACCGTACACTTAACCGAGAGAGTCCTATTCGTAACCATACACACTAAATATGCACAAAATTTTGTTGTATTGTAAAAAAAAAGTGGGTAAAAGGGCGAAATTAACGAAATAAGCGAATAAAAGTAAAGTACAAAGGGCATGCGCCTAGCAGCAATTGAAATTAGATGGGGAGCTTGTTTCTGGGGTTAATAATGGTACGAAAAGAGCGGAGTTTAATTGAAAATACTAATGCGTATAGAAAATGTATATATATAAAATAAAGTTCACATAACAATTGTTTTTGTCGTTTTTTCTGGGTGTTTTGTGGATTTTTTTGTTGCCTGGTTCAGATCATTTTCAAATTCTTTTCATCAATTCGTTTAGCTAACTCGCGTCCGTATTTTTAAGCTGCATGCTAAACGTAAAATATATTTGTATTTATATATATAGATTTCTGTATAGGGGGTTGTTTGCCACAGCGGTGCAGTGAGAAGCGCCGCCGAGTTAGTTGACCCTGGCCATGCCGTAGACATTCTCATCGGAGTAGGCGATATACAGGAAGTAGTCCTCCTCGTGGTGTTCCTTTAACACAATAGTCAAGACAGAAACGCATTAAACACATGGATCAGAGAGAGACAGAAGAGGGACGATTAGTTACCTGATACAGGGAGCCCATGGTTGCCGATGTTGGTGGAATGACGTTGTTCACAAAGAAGAAGAGGGCATCCTCGGGACGCAGGTGGATGCGCTTGCGGATGAGGAAGTAGAACTGGCCAACAGTCAGATCCGAGGGCACCAGGTACTTCTTCTTGTCCAGGTCACCGATGCGCGCCTTAGGAGCCTTCTCGACGATCACCTGGCAGGAAAAGAAAACAGGAGGTTAGTTTAAGATTGCTCAATATGTGCGGACTACGTGCCAAGGCATTGCATTTCTGCGTGTGCTCGACTACGTGCTACCTGGGGATTTAATTATTTCGTGCCTGAACAGTGGAAAGCAATTATTTTGAAAATTTTATGCAAATCAAAGCATGACCTTGTTTTACAATTATATTATTTCTCTATTGTTCAATTGTATATCTAAATAACGAATAATAAACTCAAAAACGTGGTTATATACAAGACGGGAAGCTAAATAAGGAAAATATATAGTATAAAATATGATTCCTGTTGTTCGTGACTTAATTTAGGTCTTTAGAGGCTAACATGATTCATTTGGTAGTTAAAATTAGCAATTTCGTGCTTGCATTGGCCAGTTTCATCATTTCAGAAGTAATTTTAAAACTTATTTCATCAGTTCACTAGTAATTTCGCAATTTCAACAATAATTAACCTTGATAAATGCCAGATTCTGTATTTAAAACTGAAAATCAACAGATTAAATCTTGATGTTAGTTAGTTCAAGTCTATTGGGGTAAAGACGTACTTGAGTTACCAATTTAGTAACTGAAATGTGTAATTAGGCAGTTGAATGAGTAACGAGGATTTTTGCAATACAAGTTTCAGGTTTACAACGCACTTTTTGTTTACAATTGAACACCTACCTACTCTGGCAGAAGTCAGAAGCCTGCAAAGCAGTGAAGGAGTCATTTCCGACCCTATAAATTCTTGATCAGCATGATCAGCAAAGTCGATCTATCCGTCTCCGGTAGAAAAACAAATTAAGTTTTTTTTTTTAATTTTATAAGGGGTAACATCGTGAAAATTATCAAAAATAGACAAAAAGGTTTGTTTTTTTTTTTTTTTAATTTTAATTGAGTATGCAGATTTAAAGACTAACACAGGAAAGCTTTCAGCATTCAAATTAATGATCTTTTGACTGAGTTATGAGATTTTTAAACTTTGATTTGTTGACAAAATTGTCATTTTATAATAGAGATAAATAAAAAATATTTTAAAGTACATTAAAATCCCTCACTTAGTGGACTAGGGGATTTCTTTTTTTTTTCGTAAAAGCTTGACTAAAGTAGAAACCACTTCCCTTACAAGTAGATTACAAACTAAACTTTACTATTGAGTACTAGAAGCATAATTTAATATTAAATTCTAAAAAAATTTATGTAAGTAATTTTACCTCTATCATTGGGTCTCAGCTTTGGATACGATGCTCAGAAGGCTTTTTGAGCTTTATTTATCAGTGAACTGATATTTTTAGTTTATATTAATAGCTAAAAGGTTTATTACTAACTTTGGGTGCTTTGTTTCAAGTATTTTGGTTAGAACACTATTAGAATTAACAAATTGGTAAATATTGGGTGATATATTTAACTTTTAGTAGTTTTGGGTATGTATTATCTACTAACCCCAACTTTATTTAATATTTCAAGATGTTTTTGTTTTAAAATATTGAACGATTTTAATAAAATTAGGAAACAACTGGTTTCATCTAAATTTTTGGTCAAAAAGAAGTTTAGCTAACATTTAATTACTGATTAAGCTTCTTTAAACTCCGCTTAACCCCTGTTTTGAGTCAAATTAAAACCCTGTGTCAGTCTAATTGTTGAACTGGTTTTTGGCCAACTTCTAGAACAGGAAGCGCGGAGCAAGCACCAAATAATATTTTTGGTCGATGAACACGAAATTAGGAAACCATTGCCGCTTATCGCTACTTTTTTGCCAAAAGAAAACCGAATCTGGTTAGCGTCATTGGCCGAAATCAAGGTGTCTGCTTTTTGGCAATAGCGTCTATGTAGAATGTATTCGTGATACTAGAAGGAATTTGTATAATATATGATGCGACGACCAGCTGGCCTTTCGCGCACTCATCAGCTGTTATGTGACTTTGGCACTTTGTACACTTGCCAAAAACAGGCGAAATCAATATAAACACAAATAAATCATATATACATATGTGCCTACGTATGTAATCATCGAAAACAAAACAGCGAGTGGCGATTGGGGCACCTTCAGCTTGAGTTTTTACATTTACAATTATTTTTAATTGTATTTTCTGCCTCCTTTTGTGCTCTGCAAAAGGAGTGGAGTCTGCTGATAAGGTGAAATAGCAATAGCTACTACCCCCCGCTCTTCGGTCTCCCTTGTTTTCCCGTTTTTCTGTTTTCTTTTTGTTTTTGTGTGCAGCCCCCGTCTCTATGACTAATTCCTGTCGCTGTGTGCGTGTGTGTGTATTAGTGGGTGATTTGTTATTATGCGCAGTACACTCGCTTGTTTTTGCAAGCAAACAAACACCAAAAATGAAATTTAAATCAAAAACAACTGGTTCGCGGTATGGCAAGCGGGGTGAGGGGTAGAGGCGCAGATGAAATCGGGCAGGCAAGTGGGAAAACAACAACAACCCAACAGCTGAGCAAGTGAAACGGCTAGCTCACTCGCACTCGCACATACACACAGCGAGGCTGCTTTGTTCTTCTATTTGTGTTTGTGTGAGTGTTCGACAGGGGACAATTTTTGCATTTCATTATGGTTGGCTAGCAAATGTTTTCCCAGCTGAAGTGCACTTTATGCAATCGCTGCGCATTCGGCCCCTGACATGGCGTTGCGAAATTATTAACAATTATTAACATCCCCAATATGCGCAGTATTGATTTTCCTCGGTACAACAAAAAAAGCGAACGACGCAAAACAAACGCATACACACTCACGCACACACAATACATATATACTAGGGTACTTACTGGCACACGGTCTGGATATTTGCGACGGATCTTGTCCCCCTCGGCGCGGCGCTTCTCAAAGGCGTGCTCCTCCTTGTATTGGAACTTCATGATGTACAGGAAATTGGCTAAGAAACGCAGTTTTCAATTTTTTTCACTAGTCACTGTGTAGCTGGATGCGTGTTGTTGGTCGTGGTTTTTTTTTCCTTCTGCTTCTTCTTTTTCGTGGTGGTGATATCGTGATGTTGCGTGAGCTCAGTGTTACTTCGTGAGTTCCTTAACATTTACATCTGACACGCCTGCAGAGCTGTTTTACATGTTTACAGATACATGAGGTCGAATTCTCACTGGGGTAGAATGCCCATGTATTATGTAGAATTCGTAACATAGCTGCTCTCTGCTATTTAGGGTGCTGTCGGGTGGCTGTAAATTAACAGGACTTTCTCTCGGGTGCTGTCGGCTGCCGGGTTGATCTTGGTTGTTGGAAATATGTCAAAATACCAAATTATGCCGTTTTCAGATTCTGTATCATGTATAATGTAAAACTCATAACATGGACTGTATTCTTCGATATTTTGTTTCTGGTCACTCTGAATACCGAAGCTGTTATTTAACATTTTACATTTTACACGCTTACAGATACATGTAGAGCTCTTATGTCGGAAGTGAAATTCATTAACAGACCTGCTCTCACCCAGACAGATAGAGCGTAAATTAACAGATCTTGAGAGTTAACAGAATTTTGCAGTTGAATTGAAAAAAGTGTGACCGAAGGCATAGGAATCGAAAAATGGTACCGATTGTTTCGATCTGCAATATATCGATGTATTCTTAAAATCATATATTTATATCGTGATAGTTTAGTTTGCCTAAATATCGATGTTGCGATATTTTTCTTTGATATATTAAGTGCTCTTAGTATTTTTTAGTCATTTTCGGCCACACTGCCGTATTTGTTTACATTCTTGAAATTGGCAATAATAGAATAATATAATAAATTAATCACACCTTGGGACACAATGTTGCGAAACCTAACCCGGGATACCGCCAGAGAGCATTGCCGCACCTGTCTGCTCAAGCTGGACGGAGGGCACGGCGCAGAAGGCTTCCAATCAGACGAGGTTCCAATCAGCCCGGAGCTGCAACAGTTGCTTCATATAAATCTTTTGCTGGACCAAAAGAATGCAGAGGAGGAACAGCCGTGGTGGCCTCGGGAACTTTGCCCGGAATGCCTCGACTTGATCCAAAAGTTCGAGTGGTTCCGCACCAGAGCGGAAGAATGCCACCAACGGTTGCTGCAGATCTTCAAAAAGGAGGCGGATGAGGAGCAAGAGCCGTCTTTCGAGGTGGTTTACGAGGATCTAGACACTCTGAACCACAACCAGGAGTCGCTGCACAGCCTGGAGCCACCGGAGCCCGATCCTGATCCCGATCCCATAGATGAGCCAGCCGCAAAGCCCAATAAGTGCGCAAGAAGTGCGAGAAACAGCCTCAAGTGCCCGGTGTGCCAGCACAGCTTTGCCCACCAACTCACCCTGGCGGCCCACATCCGGAAGGTGCACGAGGGTAGCAAGCGACCCTTCCAGTGCGATCAATGCGAGAAGGCCTACAGCTTCATGGGTGGCCTGTACACACACATTCGCGAGGTGCACACGCCACTGGAGCGGCGGCATCCCTGCGACCAGCCGGGCTGCGAACGGGTCTACACCAGTCGCATAGCCATGCAGAAGCACAAGCGGTTGAAGCACAGTCCGCGGGAGCGGGACAGCGTTCCGCGCAAGTTCATCTGCGAGCAGTGTGGCGCCAGCTTCAATCAGTCGGCCAATCTCAAGTATCATCGCCGAACAAAGCATCCGACGGAGGACGAACTGGCGGCCAAGGAAGGCGGCAGCGGGGAACGTCACTACTGCGACATCTGTCAGAAAGAGTTCCATTCGCGCTACACTCTGCGCTATCACACGCTACAGCAGCATGCCACCGCTAACGAGGATGGGAGCCGCCAGGACGTGCTGCCGCATGAGTGCCAGGTCTGCGGACGCCGGATGGCGAAAAAGTTCATGCTACTGCAGCACATGCTGATGCATTCCAGCGACAAGCTGCCCTGCGAGCACTGCGGTCGACGTTTCGCCCGTCGCTTCGAACTGGAGGCCCACGTTCGGGCGGTCCACCTCAAGCTCAAGCCCTTCGCCTGCCGCCACTGTCCGGAGAGCTTTGCATCCCGCAAAACGCTGCGACACCACGAGTACATCCACACGGGCGAAAAGCCGTATGTGTGCGGCACCTGCGGCCAGGCCTTCCGGCAGCAAACGTGCCTCAAAAACCACCGCAAGGTGCACGACAAGTAGCCTAGATTTAGCTTAAAATAGATTTGTTAAATAAAGCACTTTAAGGTTAACACCGAATTCTATCTTAACTTTAACTTTAATCAACAGAAATTTTGTGAAACACAGAATCAGGTCGAATCTGGTGGCTTGGCACTGGGACTCGCATCTGTGCTATGCTTCTCCCGCTCTATATAAGCGGGCAGATCTTCGAGCGGGCGATAGTACATGTGCACGGCCTGGGATCCGGCCATCATGGCCAGCATGGCACTGCCCAAGAACTTCATGTACTGTCCCCAAGAAACACCGGCGGGCATTGTTGATCACTGCTCGGTGGTGGTCTGCCTTTCCTGCAAATGCTGCTGCTCCTCCACGTAGTTCTTAGCCTGGCGGCGCTTAAATGTGCGATCTACGGTGGGGAAAAGAATGCAATTACTTAATATTCATAAATATAGACAAATGAACTCTGAAAACCCTAGAGTTTTGGTATCCCACTCACAAAAGTTGGTCTCCCCAACGGTCCAGTTGATCATAGAGAATTCTAGTCCGGCGCCCAGCAAAAAGAAGAGCGGCAGGAACCGGTAGACTCCGAAGCGTTGCTTTCCGGGCCAGCTGTCCAGCAGACGACGAACGGAGCCGCTGTAGGGACTCATGTGTTTCTTTAGCCGGCGGTTATATAATTTGGTGTCTTTTACGGCGCTTGTCCGGAGGATTCAGCAAGGTGGCGGCAGTTGAATGCCTCTGTCACATGTGGCAGTAAATTCTCTATATGTTTCTAAGACAAAACATCAATATTATTGCAACTTATTTAATTTTTGATAAAAGAAATCAACAAACTCACGTTTCAGTTCGATTTGTTCCGCAAGAAGAAAACAGCTGATTGAACTAGGTAAATTTTATCGATAGTTTAAGCGCAGATAACAAATTAATCAATTCATTTTCAAAAAACGATATACATCCCGTTGCAAAATAAAACATTGGAAACAAGTAATTAACTTAATTTAAAATAAAAAAAAAAAAACATTAAACAAAATACAGGATCAACGAAACTGTGCAGTAGTTTTGTATGAACAAGTGGCACATAAGATATTCAACTACTGTAAGGTATAATCATTTACTAAACATTATCAATTATAAATCAAAAGTATCCTTATTTTAAAAAATCGTTTCAAAAATGAATGTGTGTTAAGAAACCTTTGATATTTCTGTCATTTTCTGCCCTTACGAGTTGATGTTATTGCAGCACTACAATCCAGATTTCATTGTGATTCGAAAGTTTCGAGTGTTCGGACCGGTTGTGCTCTACTAAAAAAAACAATAAAATAAAAATAACTTTTGTGTTCCAATAATTCGGTGAGTTCTAATACGGTGGTTTTGTGTGTTCCAAATTAATTCTTAACCCGTGCCTTTCGCAAAATTTGTTCGACCAAAGCCTTATTTTAGTTCGGTAAAACAATCTGTGCTCCGCTTAACAGCCCCAAATTTTCAACGTTGTTGGACATAGATATACATTTTGATTAAAAAAAGACTAAGTGCAATTAGTTTTTAAATATTTGATCATTTCGCGTTTGCTGGCCGCTAGAGGGTGCTGCATGTTGGCAATTCATAATTCGCGCCAACACATTTAAAAGACAAGGCGCCAAGAAAATATGTAGCTGCTACATTAATTTAGCAAATCTGTTCACTTCGCGCTTGAGCAGAAAAGCAAAGAAAAATTGTGGAAAAGACTGACAGCTGTCACAATTTTACAAATTTTAATTATCGAATATTTTCCTTGTGCATTCTTGCAGCTTAAACTGAGTAAAAATGGCACGTACAAAGCAAACAGCCCGTAAATCGACTGGAGGAAAGGTTCCTCGCAAGCCGATGGCAACCAAGGTTGCGCGGAAGACCCGCCCAGCTGTTGGCGGTGTGAAAAAGCCACACCGTTATCGTCCAGGAACCGTCGCTCTGCGTGAGATCCGTCGTTACCAGAAATCGACAGAGTTGCTCATCCGCAGGCTGCCCTTCCAGCGCTTGGTGCGTGAGATCGCCCAGGGTTTCAAGGCCGACTTGCGTTTCCAGACTGCTGCCCTCGGAGCCCTCCAGGTGAGATTTGATTCGTAAATCGAAGCGAATGTATATTGACAAGTTTTGGTTTATTCCGTATTGCAGGAGGCATCTGAGGCTTTCCTGGTTGGCCTTTTCGAGGACACCAATTTGTGCGCTATCCACGCCCAGCGCGTCACCATCATGCCCAAGGACATACAGCTGGCGCGTCGCATCCGTGGCGATAATAATTAAGCTGGGCCAGTACCAGGATCATCTATGTCCATCTTCATTCACTTTGTGGCAGCAATATTTGCTGTCAATCACACGCTGATCAATTTACCATTCGTAATCTTAAAATCCTACACAAACACCATACTCATTTGTTAATTTTACGAATGGTAAAATCTGCAAGCTTTGGGACAAGAAAAAATCACATGCATACAACCAAAGACACATCTTAACAGTAATGCTGAGTCGTCATCGTCTGGATGCAATGCAGCGCTATCTGGGGCCACATTGATGCTGGGCTACCCTGGCGGCTCCCACCAACTACTTCAACTGCTCGGATGACGGGCCGTGGAACTCAGTGCTCCATGGATCCGGAGGCGCCTGTCAACCATTTGGCTGCCGGGATTCATGTTGCTGGCTACACAGAAAGACTACAGTACGTTGACGGAGAGCCTGTAGACCTGTAAAAGCATGAATATAAATTAAATACGCATGCTTTTACACTAAATATATGTACACACAAACCTTAAAATAAATAAATAAACCCATGTACAATCAATTCTCATTTTTTAAAAGCTTATTCATAAATTTTGAAAAAAATTGCACAGTTTTCCGCTAGAGGCCGCTACAATTTTCAAAATTCAAAATTTCAAAAGACATGGCGACATGAATGTAGCTGCTCCATTAATAATTTATTTCTAGCTGCTCCATTAATAATTTATTTCTATGATTACTAGAATAAATTTTAGATAATACATATTAAAATGGTCAATTTGTCATAAATAATTGTTGTTTACTATCGTTATTTAGCAATAGTTTCGGAATATCGATTGAAAGCAATATCCAAACATCGATATTGCTTCGGTATTTCCCAGAAACGTTAACAGAAAAGTGCGAATGAAAATAAAAATAGAGAGTTTAACGCTGCCGGCGAATTAAAACTTTTAGAGAACAAACTGTACGTTATTAGGAGCACTATCTCTGGATAGTGGCGGCAGAAATATCGATAGTCGAAAAACATCGATGATTTCAAAAATTCGAAAACATCGATGCAGCGGTGTTTTCATCAATATTTTGCACTTCCATTGGCCACACTGTTTATCGAAAATTTGTCTGGCCCGGTTGTGTTCTGTGCGAAGAATTTCAAAGAAAAATAATTTTTGTGTTCCAATCAATCGGTGAGTGCTGGAAGTGGCTTTTTTGTTTGCTTATTTACTTAATATTTCGTGCGTGTGGCTAAAGTAAAATAAATTGCAGTTGCATTCCTTTTTGTTTTTTTCTCTTGTCTAAAGCATTGTTTTGGTTCGGGGTGCTCCGCTGGACAGCCCGGCGGAGCCCCGACTTTTCACCGCACACACACACTTATTCTATGGATACACACAAATACGCGAAGATTTAGGAGGTGTCTTCGTTTTTTTTTTTTTTGTATTCGCACGACGAATGCATCGGAGAAGGGGAACACCGTTTTGGGTGTGCGTGTAGTGGTGCGCTGCTATTTTCCAAAATGGCCGCCACGCAGGAGAGTTTCCGCAGCAACAAATAAATTTATTTGCAGTTGCAATTAGGTCAATGGGCGAAAACGCGAACTTCTATCAGAATTTTGGTTTCCAGAAAGGAAAAAAAATGGCTGGCAATTATAAAGTTTTGATTTATTCGCCTGCAGTTTCTCTCTGTGTGTGTGTAAGGTGAATGCAAATGTGCATATGTATGAGCGTGTTTGTGTATGTCATGCGCAGTTTCTACAAATTCTGGATGCTTCGGCGGAACTCTTGTTTCTCTACCTCTCTATCCTTCGTGTCAGCCCCTTTCCTGACTATATTGCATAATTTTTCATTTCCTTGAGGATGGTTCGGTTGTCAAATATACAAACGTACGTGCATACATGTACGTATGTACATCAAAGACATTCGCACTCCATAAGCTGTGGCAAAGACGCAATTAGTCGATCCTCTCTTTCTCTCCTTTTCTAACGCGAGTGTGTTGTGTAGCTATCCCGCTTCAACTTGCCGCCTTTAAATGCGCGCCAAGTTTTGGCTTATGCTTGTTTTCCCATTTTGTTTATGTTTATTCTTCCCTTTTTTTCTCGCTTCGTAAAGCCATGGTGCTGTTTTCTTCTCTCTTTTTGTGGGTAGGGGGAGCTAAAGAAACGACTGGAAAGCGACTTAGATGCAGATTGGTGTAACTAATTAGCAAGGAACGGCGAACGAATACAGAGTTAATGGAAAAGAAAATCCCTTCCATGTGCACATTTCCTTCTTTTCTTTTCTTTTTCTCCTCGCTGCACACAAAAAGAAAACTACAACTCATTACTTCAACTTGATTAATTCCGCATAAAAGGAATAAAAAAAGAATAGGAGAGGGAACAAAAAGTGCGACTCATGTTGTGCTGAGAAAAGAAAATAACACAATGAGGAAAAAAAGTTCAAGTGGCCACTCCATTCGCCGTGAAACTGCCGCTGGTCTGTGGCAAGCAAGGCACGACCTGGTCTGGCTCTGCTTCGCTCGCCTCCTTCCCACATCCACTCGAGCAGAAGTTTCTCGAGTGGCTCGTCGTCTCTGTGTGTTCCCAGAAAAGAAAGAGAAAAAAATTTTAGAAGAGTGTTTGGCAGGCAGCTGTCACGATTTTTAAAATATTTAATATTTACATTCCAACCCTCTGCGGCGTCATCCTCATCTTCATTCTCGCAACGGATCTCGGATAGTCGTCAGTAGGCCGCCAGCGCTTCGGCGCTGTGCATCGGCTCTTACTTTAGCTACCCGGCTATATACAAAACTATAATATTTTCGTCAGTATCCTTACACCCTCCTTACACCCTCGCGTGTATTTAAAACTTGTTTCCGTAAACATGCTTTTTGTAAAGCAAAGTAAATGTTTAAAAAGTTTGTGACATCTTCAAACATAAAATATGTTCCTAAGATTGGTTCCAAGTTTGTTTCTCTATTGTAATGTATCTTTGTGTATTTTTGCAGTTTTAACTGAGTAAAGATGGCACGTACCAAGCAAACAGCCCGTAAATCGACCGGAGGAAAGGCTCCTCGCAAGCAGCTGGCCACCAAGGCTGCGCGAAAGTCCGCCCCATCAACTGGCGGTGTAAAGAAGCCCCATCGTTATCGTCCGGGAACTGTCGCTCTGCGTGAGATCCGTCGTTACCAGAAATCGACTGAGTTGCTCATCCGCAAGCTGCCCTTCCAGCGCTTGGTGCGTGAAATCGCTCAGGATTTCAAGACCGACTTGCGTTTCCAGTCGGCTGCCATCGGAGCCCTTCAGGTGAGATTTAACTCGTAAATCGAAGCGAATGTGTATTGAGAAGCTTTGGTTTATTCCGTATTGCAGGAGGCATCTGAGGCCTACCTGGTTGGTCTATTTGAGGACACCAATTTGTGCGCTATCCACGCCAAGCGCGTCACTATCATGCCCAAGGACATTCAGCTGGCGCGTCGCATCCGTGGCGAACGTGCTTAAGCTGGGTCAGTATCAGGATCATCTATGTCCATCTCCATTCACTTTGTGGCAGCAACCTTTGCTGTCAATCACACGCTGATCAATTTACCATTCGTAATCTTAAAATCTTACACAAACACAACATCTTACATTTGTCACTTTCTTTCTGTTAATTTTACGAATGGTAAAATCAACAAACTTTGAGAAAAAGGAAGACCACATGCATACAAAAAAAAAAAACAAACAAAAACAAATCTTAATTGTAATTCTTAAATATTACTTATAACTCTTATTATTATTGTACATTAGTTTGTAAGATTTTTTTTCGCTTGTGCTTGAAGCTGAGTCGTCACGTCGTCTGCAAGCCGTGCAACCCCATCTGCGTCCACATTGTTGCAGGCATATCCGGGCGGCCGTCATCATCTGTCCGTCTTTAACATCTGACCACCAACCACTCCAACAATTGTCCGGATTGCGGGCTGTGATAGTCGGTGCTTCATGGATCCGGAGGCGCCTGCCAACCCTGGTTAATAATCAGGGGGAAGTTAACCATCTGGCTGCCGGGATCCGTGGTGCTGGCAATCATGGCCACTCAAACGCGGTCTGGGCGTGGTAAGGCGGACAGACGGTGGCCGGACTGCTCGACGGCGTCTCCAAGGATTCAGAGAAAGGCTTCAGGACGTTGGCGGATAGGCTGAAGGCACTGGCATCTATAAAAACATAAAAAATGATATCCAACATAACACCGAAGACCGAATTGAGTACACTTACTTTTACGTATTACACTATAAATACATATAAACCTAAAAATATATATATATATATATCTTATATATAGAAAACACTAGATATTAATACTCTTCCGTTTCTTTTTGTCCTTTTCTTTACTGCGAGCCACAAACAAAAAACCGTTTATCACCGATTTCGTGTTTGGTTCCGATTCTAAAAATTTGAGAAGAAGACGAGGATAACACGATCCTTTTCAATATTGAAAAAAGGATCGATCGTGAATGTTAAATTTCGTCAGTTGGATTCGAAACTAAATACGAAAGCGGGGATGTACATATTAAACAGCGAAGAGGGATGGACGGACGGCTAGTTGATTAAAGAATAAGTTTTAGATTTACATGCATTTTTTATACGTTTAGACGGAAGGCAGAATACGAACGAATTCAAAACAAAACAAACAAAAAGCCAGACAATGAAGAAAATAGAACGACTTGCCCGATACGATAATGGAAGAGCATCAAATAATATTAACCGAAAACCACACAATATTTATTGTATGTAGTTTGAAACACACGCAAAATATTCAATTGTATTGTACAACCAGCATATATATTGTATATTTAATGTAATACGGTGTCGATAAAACCAGTTGCACACGGTACATTTAATATATGGTATGCATATGTGTCTATCGTAGCTTACGAAACGCAAAAACCAATCCAGAATCCGAAAACAACAACAGACAGCTAAAAAACTTTAACGGAAACATCAGCAAAACAACAAAAAATCACCCAAACAATAAACTGTTTTTTCTAGAGAAAAAACCAAAAACAAAAACAAGCCTCACGTTTTATTTTTGGGGGCGACGGAAGCAAGAGAGAGAGGGCAATACAGGTATGTACGTATATGACATCAATAAGGGGGAGGCAAAGGGGGCCGATGAGTACAGTTGGCTCAGAAAATCAAAAGTCAACGGCATTTCGCTCTCTGTTGACGTGTGATAATCTCTATGCGTTTGTTTGTGTGTGTGTGTGTGTTGGGCTAGTGGGCTGGGAATCTGCAAGCGTATGTAAATATATGTATGTATATACATATATATTATGTATGTTTGATCGGTATTGTTTTTTAAAAGCTGCAAATAATTAAACCATATGCTTTTTGTTTACATTTCAGTTAATTTGTTTGCTAATAAGGAAAGCCAATCCCAAGTAGTCAAATATAACTTAGTCAAAAAATCATTAATTTTAGTTGAAAAAGATTTTCTGACAATTGTTTTCAAGAATAATTTGAATGTTTTAATATTTTAAAATTAGAATGCAGATTTGTTAACCTATTAAAAACTAGCACAGAAAAGCTTTTCGAATTGAATCTATTTAGGATTTGGCTGATCTTAGGATCTTCGGCTACAACAAAGTTGGCTTCCTTTCTTGTTTTTTAGTTGAATGCCCAAAAATGTGTACAAAGCATTACTACATTTCCCTTAATTTACATGTAAACATATATTTATTTTAATCGTATATTTTAGAGTAAAATCCGGAATGCACCTCCCGCACTCATTTTATAAAATATTAAAATTAGAACACGCACAAAAAAATGGTTTTAACTTATAATTAAAGTTGGATGTGACCCCCAAATTATTTATTTTAGGTTCTGAGAGTAGGATCATTCGTGGTCCTTAGTCTGCCTCGTTTTTCTCCGCCTCTGGATGCTTGCCGGTCGCCGTCGGCGCCGGTGCAGGGGCTCCAGGTGCACCAGCTGCGACTCCAGGTCCATCTACAGCGGCTGCACCAACTGCTGGCGACGGCGGCGGGGCTCCCGCTCCTGCTCCCGGCGGTGGGTACAGACCACTGCCTGCTCCGGCAGCGGCAGGACCGGCTCCGCCACCTACTGGAGTTCCTACTGCGCTTGCGCCTGCTGCTCCACTCGACTCGTGCAGGTGACCCGGAGGCGGTTGTTGCTGCTGCTGCTGCTGCGGTGGCGGTGGTGGGTTACTTCCGTGCTCTGGCGCATAGGGATGTCCTGGATTGCCGTTGTGCTGCTGCTGCTGTTGCTGCGGCGGCGGAGGACGCGGCGACATGTAATGGGATCCAGGTGGTGGTCCATAAGACTGTTGATACGGAGAGAACGGTGCGTAGTAGGGCTGCGGCGTTGGGTGTCCTCCGTATTGCGGCTGATAGTAGGGCCGCGCTGGCCCACCGGGCGGACCAGGTGGTGGGCCATGCGGCGGCCCGCCATAGTTGGCATAGCCTGTGTGGGGAGGTGGTGGCGGCAGGCCAGGCATGCCTGGCGGCGGCTGATGCGGTCCCATGTGTGGTGGCATGTGCGGATGGCCTGGAGGCGGATGTCCAGGATGTGGATGCATTTGCGGCATGCCGGGCGGAGGAGCTGTTGCCTGCTGCTGCGGCAGTGGCAGCTGCTGTTGTTGGACCGGCGGTGGCGTATGCGTTGTCGCCGCTGAAGCTGTGCCTGAGGTCGGTATCGGACCCGATCCGACCACTTCCGGTGGGGGCGTGGGCACGGGCCCTGGCGTAGGCACCTTGCTGGGCGGTGCCACGACCTTGGCTACCTCTGGCTTTTGTGGATCACTCACCGTGGACTGCGGCGGCAGTGCCGCGGCCATTTCCAGCTTCTCTGGCTTAATGGGCGGCGGTGGCACCGACGGCTTTGGTGGCGGCTCAATATCCATGGGCTCCGGATCCGTTTTACTGGCCGTTTCGTGGACATGTACCACTGGCGGTGGTACGGCTGGAGGATTGGGTGCTGGACTAGGCGTGGGTGTGGGTGTGGCTGGCTTTACAGCTGGCGGCGCTGCTGCTGCTCCCGCTACTCCTGTTGCTGGATCTTTGGGCGGCCCTGCAGCTCCTGGCTCCGGGACAGCGGGCGTGGCACCAGGCTGAGCTGGTGGTTTCGCCGACTCTTCGCCGCTCCTCGTCGCTGGCGTGGTCGCGTTCACGGCATTGTTTGCACTGGGCTCGTCCAATCGCTGGCGATCCCGCTTGATGTCCTCATACATACGATGCACCATCTTCTGGAAGGTATCCTCGTCCACAGCCGGCTTGCAGTGTCGCTTGAGCTCCTCCTGGAAGGCCTCGCTGGACTCGACCATACGCTGCTTCTTTGCCTCGAACTTCTCCTCCATCTGCTGCAGCTCCGCCTCCAGCTTCGTTTGGTGCATGGTCAGTGAGCTTACCTGCCGCTTGAGTACCTGCATCCGCGTGGTGGTGACCACCGATCGTACGTCCGGGACAACAGCCTCTGAGAAGATCTCGTTGATTAGCCGATGATTGCGCAGGTATCGTGCGTAGGCCATGTGCTTGGCCGTATAGCCCTCATCCTGGTCGTCCTCATCCTCCGCCGGCTGGATATCAATGCGGCGTTCGTGCTGCGATTTGCTGCCGCCTCCCCGAGACGGTGTCTCATGCATATCCACGTCCGATTTCACCTTGCTCTTGGCCGACATGTAGGCCTGGTAGGCGGGCGTCTGGTGGTAGGCCTTTAGCGACTTCTCATACTCCAGCTTCTCCGCCTCGTACTCATCGATGAACTCGGTCTTCTCATCCTCACCCAGCAGCTTCCACATGGCGCCGATCTTCTTACCCAGCTCCCACAGCTTCAGTTCGGGATTCTGCGCCTTGACACTGTCCCATACGCGCTTTGAGTAACGCATATACGGCAGAATGGGCTTCTCCGGCGGCTTTGGGGGCTTGGGCAGACGCGATTCGTTCTGGTTCTTGCTGCTGGAGGATTTGGTCACCTTCTGTGGAGTGAACGCCGGATTGCCATAGTTGCTGTGCGTAAAGATGGGCGTCTGGTCCTTGTTGCGATCGGAGGCTCCTCCGCCGCCGGAGGAACGTGACCGGCTACTCCCGCCGCCACCACCGGTGCTCCCGCCGCCGCTTCCGGTGTTGCTGTTGCCGCTTCCACCTACCGCAATTTGCTTGTAATTGCTCGGTAAGGCCATGGCTCTTCTCTTCGTTGGCTAACTTGGTGTAAATATCTTAATTTGTACAAATGAAAATTTTCAGGCGGACGCCATTTTCTGTCGGCCTGCGTCGGCGTTAGTTCTGACACTTTTGCAACCCGATAGGCAGCTATCGAGATTCCCACCTTATCGATATATGCGCTTAGAGTAGGAGCTCTTGGAGTTAAGAACTTGGTAAATATTCTTTTAGTGTTTAATTTCACATTTAACAGGTCAGAATTAGTTAATTACATTTAGTATTTTTAGTTTGCAGTCAACATATTCAATGAAAAGCATGAATTATAATTAATCGTAAATATACCAAAACCACTTTGCATAGAGTTGGCAGCGCTGAATCTGTAAAGATAGAAAATAAACAAAACAAGAACTAGTCTCATGTTTACCTGCCGCTTTCTCGCTCGCCTGAGCCGAAATCAGGCCTGCTTGGCCGCAATCGGACGTCTGGCGATACCCCAAAGACTGGCCAGCCATCGTATCCTGCCCAGCTACCCGATGGCCATCACAAATGCAATGATTCCATGCAGAGGACCGGAAGCCAACCGGCGATTTTCCAGCAACGAAGTTGAAACGGATTCCTCCAGCCTGGACAGTGTCACCTACGAGCGTGTGTGCTCCGAAACACTTGATGCACTCTGCGACTACTTCGAGGAGCTGACTGAGAACGCCGCCGATCTGCAAGGCAGTGATGTGGCCTACAGCGTGAGTCCAGGTTCTAGTTGTTGTCTTTGTTACATCATACTTCAATGTGTTTCATTTTGTTTCTGATAGGATGGAGTACTCACTGTGAATCTGGGACACAGCCATGGAACTTATGTGATAAACCGGCAGACGCCCAACAAGCAGATATGGCTCAGCTCCCCCACCAGTGGGCCCAAGCGGTTCGATTTTGTCCTAGCCGACGGCGAAGGAGCGGGCAAGTGGGTCTACAAGCACAGTGGCCAGTCCTTGCACGAGCTGCTGCAGCAGGAGATACCACATATATTGGAGCAGCAAACCGTGGACTTTCTCCGCCTGCCTTACTGCAAATGAGGGCTCTGTTAATTCGTAGATTAATGCATATTTTCACTATAAAAAGTCGCGTTAAAGGTTTATATACTACACGTTTGTGGCTTTTATTGTTAAAAACGTTGGCTTCTATATCTCGGGGTTAATGGTTCTCGATCCAAGGTTTGGTCTCTAGGGTGCAACTACGTTTTCAATTAAAATCATCACAAACCTTTTTATTGTTTTCTAGCTTTGCACAGGTTTAATGGTTTCATTATTGTATATCTGTTTTATATTCAGTTGTATATTTCCTTCAAATTTAAATGTACATATGTCTTTTTATTTTAGTTTCACCCATAAATTTATCTAAAAAATACACAAAAAATAAAAGCCACCGTCGTTAATATATTAAAATTTAATGTGTCTGTTTATTTTTCGCTGTTGTAAGTCAGATATATATATATTTATATATATTCATATAAACATATATAAGTTTTCCCAACCTCGTGCATTATTATCTTTATTGTTTCAATAATCGTAACAAAAAAAAAACTCCATTTTTGGCAGAGGAAAAACAGGCATTGGTAAAACCACAGCAGCGAACACATTTAAAAAAGGATTTGACCCTTTTCGCTGATGATTTAGGAGCTAGGATACAATGTAAGGATATATCTATAGATCTTAATGGGTAATGGATAATGCTATAGTTCAATGACGTCCCCCGAACATGTTGTTGTAGTGTGGGGCATTCGGTTGCTGCTGCTGGTTTACGAATTTAAGAGGTATCTGGCTATACTGCGGCTGGGGCGCTCCATTGTTGGCCCAGGGATTAATCTGACCTCCTCCCATGCTTGCTCCTCCTCCTCCATAGGCACCGTGTCCGGGTGACACACCAGCTCCCATGGCCGCTGGATAATTAGGCTGCGAGCCGTTGCCGGCATATTGATGATAGCCCCCGCCGGCAGGACCGCCACCTCCGTAGGGATACTGATGAAGGGGATCGGGTCCACTTGTCACATTGGTTATGATTTGGCGTGCTTGCTGCTGCTGTGCTGGAATACCAGGATATGCTGGATTTTGATAGGGTCCCGTCGAACGATTTCGATTAGGATTTGCCAGCTGCTCTTGCTGATTCATCATAAAGTTGTTGCCACGATTGCCAGGTGAGCCACTTAATCCAGAGCCTGCGGCTCCGCCGCCCTTGCCTAGAGTACCCATTAGGTCGGCTATTATGCTTTCGGTGTCTTTTATGGAGAGCTTAGGCGAACCTATTGCTGGCTTGAAGGTGAGGGCATTGGGTGACGATTCCACCGGTACGATGGGTGGTGTAGTTTTCCTAACAGTACCACCAGCACCGCCATTCGAATCGCATGCCTTCATTACCAGATCATCAAAGTTGTAGTCATCATCCTCGTCGTCGTCGTCATCATCGTCGATCGTGAAACCGGGCGAATTCTTCATGCGTCGCTGCTTATTGATGGGCAGATTGTTAAGGTCTCGGTCCGAGCTGCGACGGCGCGAGGTTAGCGACGAAAGGGTCTCCAATGCAGGGATAGAGCTGCTCGCGTTGGCGGCTTTTGACGAGGTCGATGCCTGGCCGCCCGTCACCGTGGCTATGGCCTGTCCAATGGCCGATTTCTCAATGGGCTTCGGTAACATTCCACTGATGCCGGTGCTGCTGCTGCTACTGCTGATTGTCGATTTGTTAACCACACGCGACAAGAAATCACTGCAAGACTCTCCATCGGAACTCAGCTCCGCCAGGTTCACATACTTGCGCAGACGGTGAACTCGCGCCGGCTCCATCACCTCCAGCTTACGCAGATGTCCAATGAGATGCACCTGCTCCTCGTTCGACAGAAACTTGAAGTTCTGCAGCAAAGTCTGTAAATCGGAGTCGGTTAGCGACTCCATGGCATTGTTGCCGCCGCCAATGTTGGCTGGTTCATTGGGTTTGACACCTGCTCCTGAACCGGAAGCCACATCTATCGACTCCTTGTTCAGCTGGTTCTCCACCTCCTTCATTAACTCGTCCAGATCGATGCTGATGTTCTCGGCTTCGGGATTAGCTTCCGCTTCCTTCAAGCCCAGCTTGGTACAGGCCTCGGCAAAGCTAAGGTTACTATTTATGTCAGCCTGACGGCGCTGGTGATCCATTTTCACCATCAGGGTAAACAGATGCAGGAGCTTGGTCATGTCCTCGGTGCTTACGTCATAGTAGCCTTTGAGGACCAAAGCATTGGCCAGCTTGGGGGCAACCATATTCCGATCAAAGGGCAGCTGTATGGGCACCGGAGCAGCATTCGCCTTGTGCTGGCCTTCGGAGGATTCGTTTCCACCTAGAAACGTCCAGATCGTGCACGGATTGGACACAGAAGGGAAGGGACACAAAAGAAAAATCAGTTAGGATTTGACATCACAGGAGGGGATCTGAGTTGTTGGTTGTATTTGTCTTGTTTTTTGTGTGTCGCGATTGGGATTATGCAAATTACATTTATACTTATGGATGTGGTGTGGATTCGATGGCGACTGGACAGACAGCTCACGGTTCGTCGTTGGCACACATTGTTCACACACCCGCCAATAGAGGGAAGAGCTGATCAAAGAACGGGGTAACTCGAACTCGAAGAGTTGCAGAGTGTTGGCTCTGCTTCTATAACTTCGAAATGACCGATTTCTTAAGATAAAACCCCGATAAATCACGAAATGCTTAAGCTCCGAGAAAATTACATATAAATAAGCAGCTTAAACATGGTAGATATCCACCCCTAGAGCATTAACCCAAAGCTCTTCTACTAATAACGCGATACGAATTCAAGATTTATAGCAAAAATTATGGATAGTGATCAAAACCTGATACAACTTAGTATAACTTAAGTCTGTGCAGAAATTATAGTCAAGAAAGTCACACCAACTGTCTTGTTAAGAACCCGTCCCGTTGAGACATTTCCAATTTTTGAACATTTAAAATCTTTACCCTCCACAATGCTATGAAACACACGCAATATACTCGGTTAAGTATTTAAGCGGTTGTTGCATTCATTATTTAGTAGCCTAGAATAAAAAAAACACCAGCTTACATTGTTTATTTTGTTGTAAACATACGAAATCGAAATCTAATTTTATTTATTTAACGCGAAAAAGAACGATCAAACGCATAAAGAGTTGCGACACCTCAACTTTAAATGTTTCTTTTTTGCATATATCCTTGCTAAAGGATATTAAGGCTTTTATTTTTTAACACTCATACTTACCTCACTTTCTACTAAGACAAGAAAAAAACAAAAAAAAAAGAACAAACACGAAAAAAAGAGGGATAGACTTACCTCGCGAGGTGACCTGAAAAATGATGGCCGCTATATTGGTGATCACTTTCTTCACGACGCGCACCTTCTGCGGATCATCGAGCACCTCAGCAATAAGTATGCCCTTCAGCTTCTCCTTCGTGGTTTCCAGGAAGACACAATTATCATCGTTCAATAGCAAATCGTCGGCGGCATTCGGTTGTACCATCTCCATGGCCAGTGCTTTGCTCAGCAAATTCAGCGCCTTGGGGCCAAGGCTACCCAGGTGCTCCTCCACGGCTGACAGCATGCGCAGCACACTGACCACTGTCAGCGGACCCTCATCCACAGATTCGGTCGTATCCTCCTTGCTGTTACTTTTGCTATTGCTGGTCGAAACCGCCGGCGAAATGGAACGGACCTTGGGCAAACTTTGACTGTATTCGGGATACACGCGCGAGTCCATTACACGGAAGGTCTCGACACGTTCGTAACGAGTGGGGCGGACGTAAGAGTCGGACCGATAGAACTCGCTGGAGCGTTCCCTCTCTATGCTGCGGGAGCGCCTACCATAATCACGAGAGTGGGTCGAGGAACCACGCTCCCTGCTGGAGGGACGCCCGCTGCCATACCGATCACGTCGATCACGCTGCTGTCGATGGTAGTAACCAGGCGTGCGGGATCGACGGGACCTTCCGTCGCGTGAATTCGAACGGGACCGAGAGCCACGGCGGAAGTTGCGGTGAGACGAGCGGCTGCGGGAACGCCGCACCGGACGACGTCCTAGCACTCGCTTTGCCGACTTGGAGCGCGAATGAGAGCGCCGATAGGAACCGGAACGATTGTGACACGGAGGATCATTGTCATCATCACTGATATCAATCACTGTCACGCCTCCTGCTCCGGCGGCATTTAAGGGTCGATTATTACTGCGGAAATTTGCCTTGCGTCGGTTGTTTGCTTTTGCCGGGGCGCTGGTATCACGCGGACTGGCTACACGGATTTTATATGTTTCCATTAACTCCTTGGTCTTCTCCTCATCCTCGTCGCCCAGCTTGAACTTCTCCTTCAGTTCCTTCTTGATCTTATTCACAGCTATATTGAAGAGCTCGATGCGACGATCCTTCCAATAGCTGATCCACTCGGGCTTATAGTCATAAAGATTGGGATCACATTTCTTCTCCTCCTGCAGCTGCTTATAGCGTCTGTTCCAGAACTGCTTCCACTCATCAGGGTAATCCGGATGCTTCTCCGGATTGGTCTCGTATGTCTCCGTCTCGTCGCGCAACTGCTTGAGCTGCAGCTCCAGCATGCAGCGGAACTTCTCCCACTTGTAGCGCTCTTGGGCAATGTGCGAAGCCTGAATGGACAGCTCCTTGGGCGTGGGCAGTGCATTTATCTTGGGGCCAGTGCCCGGCTGCGGCGGTGATCTATTTGCGCCGCGACCATTTGCTGACTGATCTTTGGCCAGGGTCTTGTCGCGCTGCGGCTTCTTGGCGGACTCATGGATCGATGTCGATGCCCCGAAACTCTCGTCATCGCTGGAGATGGCATCCAGAGCAATGGTGTTACCATCGGTATTAGCATCACGCTTCAAGTCCGCCTCGGTCATTTTCAGGTTGATCTTGATACCCTCGTCCAGCTTTAGGTCCTGGAGTACGCGCTGCGCCTCCGCCACAAAATCCGGACCGGCACACTCATCGAAATGGAAGCTATCCCTTACTTGACTGCAGATCTTGGAGCGAAAGCGACGGAACTCATCGCCACTCACGGTTAGCAATTGTCGCGAGCGCCCAAAGTGAATCTCAATTAACTGGACAAGATGGCTAGTGGCCTGGACCAGTATGGGGGCGCTGTTCGGCGTCCGCTTGAGCTTCTGGAGCACCTCGTGGGCCTTCTGGAAGTGTGTCTGTAGGTATTTGGTGCGATGCGCCTGCGAGGTCCAATGCACGAAGATGGAGCGACTGTCGTTGCAAGTCTGGCACAGCACACAGTAGTAATCGGGGCGGAGCTGGCCGGCTTCCTGCAGCTCAACAGCGTACTCGGTACCCAGCAGCGGGGCGCTGTTGTAGTTCTCGATCTGCTTGAGGACGACGGCCGGCCGCAGGGGCTCTTCGTCGTCCTCGAAGCCCGGCGGTAGCGGTTCGCCTGGCAGAAAATTCATCGTCGAATATGCAATTCCTCACAATATCTGCGGGAGGGAACCACAAAAGAAGCCAGTGAGGATTTTCCCTCTACAAAATGTGTACTCACCTCTCTGCGCACCTCTGTTCGCCGTCCTTTTCCCCACTTCGTTACGCTCTATCTCCGATTTTCTTTTTCACTTAGGTTTGCGTTCTCGTCGACACCGTTGTGTCTTCTTTTCGTTTCACTTGTTTTACTTCACAAACACTTAAAATTGGACGGCTTCCGACATGTTTATTTTACTTACTTTATTTTTCCTTTTTCTATAATTCTAAAATGACGTTTGGTAGAGATGCAAGAGATGTAGCTCGATGTTTATTTCTGCGGTGCTATCGATAGGTGTAGGTGGATTTGGTTATATCGATTGCCACCATTGAATATATGTGTATTCGATATTTACCATTTTATTAGGTTAGATTTATTGAGTTTATAATATGCACATCAATTTTTTTTTTTGTATTATTAATTAAGTAACCTTTAAAGGGTTTAAAAAACTTTTGGCAGTCACTGGTGTTTCTGGGCATCTTATGCCCTCACGTGGATCCGAAATATTGGCATACTTTGAACCAATATTTATCGGAAATTTCATATGATTACTTTTATCATAAATCAAAGTTTAAAAAGTTCATAATCAAATCAAAAGAGCATTTTTTAAAATTCGGATAGCTTTTCTGTTTCAGTTTTGATTAGATTAATGGCGATTTGGAGTATGTATCAGGTTTGGCAATCACTGGCTTCTTCCCATATTTTCACGAGTGACAAATATCGATTTTCGCAGACATCGATAAAATGAAAACCGCAATTGTTAAATTTAAATTTTTTCCAAATAAGAAGTCCTCTTTGGATTTAATGGTTAATTTACCGTCTGGCTTCTTCAATATATTTGCAACATTCGAACGTAAAATATACATATTGATGTAAGTACAAGTGGTGTATAAAAGTTCGATGAGCAAAATTGACAAGAATTGTGTGTGGCAGTAAAGAGTTTTTCTTGTTCATTTCGTTAGCTTATATTTTTTGTGATATATGGTATGTATATATATTTAAATATTGAAACAATTATAGGTGTGGTGTTTTCATTTAATTATTGTTTGCTTTGTTTTGTTTTGTTTTAAGTTTTTCTTTTGTTTTGTGTCTCCTTTAATACAGTAGTAGTTACATTGTAAAGTTGCTCTATAGGCTAAAACTGGAAGGAATGATTGCAGTTAATTGTTGGACACAATGTTCACAAACTTAATAAATAGGGACTTTAAAATTAGAGGTGAAATCGGGAAGTCAGAGAGTGAGTGGGATAAAATAGTCAACAATATATAAATAAAGCTTTATAATAATTAACTAACAGACACGTGTGAGTAGTACTGGTTAATCAGAGAGCTGGGAAAGGGGGTGTGTGTGTGTGTGGGAAATGGGGGGAAAACAATCTGCACTTAGGATCTAAACATACACTAAACGTAATTTTGGTAGTTTGGGCTTAAACTACTTAGTTGCTTTTTTTTCATTGTTTTTTGTTCTCATTTTTTCTTGGTTGCCTATCATTAGTAAATACACATACATACACACACGCTTAAATGCTACGATGCTACTTAATAATTCCTAATAATGATGTCTGGTTAAAAAGATGGAAACAAAATACAAAAAATATAACTAAAGCCGAAGAGAAAAAGATTAAATCAATAAATAATAAGGAGTAATGGGACTTCCAACGGGAGAGGCCGGAAATTAAAGCTTTGTATGTTTGACAGTATCCGTCCAATAGTTCTGTATTGTCATCGCCTCCAGCGAGTTCAAGAACGAGTCGTTGTCCAGGCTGTACATCTCATCCGAATTGTCCTGCAAAAGTGAAAATGTAATTAAATCAAGTTCTGCAAGTTTTAAACTATTTACTAAAACTTTGGCCGACGAATCCTTACACTCACCCGCATGGTGCTGTCATCAATATAGACACTCGAATCCGGTTCGCTAAGCGCCTGCGGTTTATTCACATATCGTCGCCGGTACAGAACGATACCAATGGTGCCCACTGTACAGCAAACGCCAAAGACAGTGAAACAGATTGCCGAAATGGCGCCTGCATCTAGGAAATATGTTCGCTGAGGATGATAAAATTAAAATTTTATAATATAATCAAGTGTTATAAGTGTCCATGTATTATTTATAAATAATTACAGCCTCAAACCCGAAAGATTCAAGTACAAAGAGTCCTATTGCCTTAAGTATCTTAAGGCTTATACAGTCTTTGCCAAATGGCTCACCCACCTGTATGGCCAGCGCCTCGGATGAAATGTTACCCTCATCGCCAGCGGCAGCAGTTGCATCGTAGAGACCAGCCCCATCCCCCGAAACGCTGGGCGCCGCGGATGCTGATCTGGTTAGCAGGCTCTTGGTGTCGCTGGAGAAGTTAATGTAGCGATTTATGTGCTTGTACTCCGCCGATAGGACCTTGGATTTGCGCGACCTATGCTCGCTCTCTGCCCGCCGTAATTCGTCCTCCTTGTTGGCATTTTCAAGTGTGAAAGGTGCCTTCTCGCCATCCGCTAGACCTGCACTGGCTCCAGCCAGCAGTTCGTCGGACAGCCACTCTGTGTTGATTTTCGGCGTGGACGGAGTAGCTGCCGCTGAACCCAATGGTGTCGACGTCGATGGAGTAGCAGCAGCAGCAGCAGCAGCAGGAGCAGGAGCAGCCGTACCGCTCTTGGCAGGCGGTGAGGTTCGCGATGCTGCTGTTGTGGTTGATGTGGCTACCGCTGGCACTGTCTTTGTTGTGGTTGCTCTCGGTGCTGGCGGATTGATGCTGCTAATTGGGACTGGTTTTGTGGTGTTGCTGATGCTGCCATTTGTACTGGAGGATGGAAAAGATGCAAGGTTTTAGTACAAGGTTTAAATATGAAATAGGAATAGGTTTTAATAGGAAAATACATTTTCATACATTATCTTTTAATTAAGAATATGTGTTATCAATTATATATGTCTGCTGAGTTAGGGTAATCTTGTAGGTAAGCTAACCAAGTTAAAAAACCTTCCCAATAATAATAGGAATGGACGAAATGTAACTTTCTTATTAGGTTTTAACAAAATGCATACAAATACTAATATCTATTGAGAGAGACAAATGGAGTTTAGCTAAAGACAACTCTGTCGTTCGCTACCAAGAGCGATCTCTGGATAAAAGGGTAATATGTTTTTAATAAAGTTGATTGACCTACCTAGTGCTACTGCTAAAATTCGTAAAGTTGTTTAGCTGCTCGGAGGTGAAGTCCGCCGATCGCTTGAACTCGAACTGAGCCAGTTTCTCATTTATTGCAGCTTCCTCTGCATCCACATCCGGATCTGGATCCGTATCTGGATCGGCCTCCGTATCCGGTTTCTGATTCTGTTCCGGACCCTGTTCCTGATAATTTAACAGCATTCGATCCTCTTCCGCCGCCTCCTCCTCCTCCTCATCATCATACTGCGACATTGTCACATCGCCCAACTCGGACAGCTCCTGGGCCTGGGTAACACTTGGAGTAACCGGACGATTGGTGGTGGGTCGGTGGGTCAGATCCATAATGTTGCTCTGGGTGGCTGTGGCCCACGTCTGGCTCACGGTTGTCTGATACAGCTTGGTGGTGCGCACGGGCTGGGTACTGGAGGCCAGAGATTCACCATCCTGGCTGGGATATGTATGGACATGGCGGCACAGCAGGCCAACTGTGGGTGTGGATCGGATGAGAGGGTTCATGGCTTAGTTACATCGCGAGAAGAGGGTCTTCTTAACTTACCAATCAGGACTAGGGTTATCCAGAACCAGTGTGACCACCAGTAGAAAGTCATGATGCGTCCCGTTCTGTGATCTTGCGATGACTGCTCCCAATGCTGGACGCCAGGAATGGTGTGAATAAAACAGAGAAAGAGTATACATATATATTTAGTAAGTTAAAGATGAGTCAGAGCCAGAGCGATCGGGGGAAGCAATTGGTAGGTAATATGTGTCGCCGTGTCGGCCCAAAAGGGGATGAGGTCATCAAAATCGCGTTTTGCGTTTATTTCGAAATTCGCTTTAAATTCTGAGAAGCTCAGAAACGGGTTTAGCGGCGCCCGTCCCCTTTTGAGGAGGAGGATTTGCCATTTTGGGGCATTTCTGGGTGCCCCCTCCTTAGGCCCCACCGAAGGTCGACAACTCGTGCCATAAACAAAGGCCTTTTCTTCATGCGACGCATCTGCCTTTAATAAATTAACAAATTAACTTACAACTTTGGAAGCTAAAGATTTTATTCTCCAGAACTGTATAAAAATAAAAATTTGTCAACTAGTGTTGGTTACGATGGCCCACGCCAAAAACATTTTTGTAACTGTCATAAATGACTCTTGTGCTTGCTCTGCCTTTTGTTTTATGCTTATTTCCCATTTAAGCCAAATAAGAAAGCCTCTTCTAAGTGTGCAAACGAGATAGATAATAGGCTGAAACTATATTGTTAAATAATCTTAATTATTTCAAGAATTTTCATTAATATATACAACACGTGCTTCCTTTAGTAGGGATACTTTTCAACACCGATAAAGTAGAATCGATAAAAAAAAACATAGTTGGCCGCTTAATATTATTATGCAATACTTTATAGTACCGATAGCAAGGTAATTAAAAAAAAAAAGAAAGCAATCTAATCATATTGGCCTATATTGCAATATTGCACAATGCAACTAAAATAAAAACAGAGATTTATGGGGATCAAATTTTAATGCACTCTTACTATCGCCTTTAAAATCTCGATATTCTCGATATTCGATATATCGATATCATAGTAGGTCATTAACCCAGCTCTAGGATAAAGCTCTTTTTTTCACTTCCCTACAGCATTTTTTCGTTGATAGATAACTTTTTATTCCGAAAAAGAATTTCGATTTCAAATCAAAGATGTCGCAGAAGGATAGAGAAAACTTATGGTTCCTAAATGAAGAGGATATGGAGGATGATGAGGAGGAGGACTACCGCATAACGCTAGCCAAGTAAGTACTTAAATATGTTCTATATGTATACTTAAGTATATATATATAACAATATTGTGTATTTTTACAGTACTAAAGCTAACAATTTTATTTAACTGGCACTGTAATATTCTAACAATGATTCCCCCTTTATAGGCTCTATGAGGAAGTGGAAGCAGAAGATGAGGATGATGATGAAGAGGAAGACGAGACCCTGGATATGTCAACACTCACAGACGGGTAAAGGCTTGAACTCAATATCCTTTTTTTCAGGTTAGAATTAACTAAACTTCTGTAACTAATTCATAGGGGAATTATTTTACGGTCAAAACAAACTAACAAAGAAGAGAAAACTGAAAAGGCTGAGGAGGCGGAGGCGGAGGCGGAGGCGGAGACGGAGACGGAGACAGAGCCGGAGGTTGTGGACTTAGATGATGATTCGTGGATTACATCACTTCTTAGTCCCGAATCCGCAACAGAGGACAACGGAACAACAGAGGATGATGCTTCAAAGGAGAACGAGTCAGAAGAAAGCAAGCCACCACTTGATGATGATGAGCTACTTTTGCAGGCCCTTGAAGATTGGCTCGTAAAAGATGGTATAAACGAGCCCCTAAATGATATACCCGAATATAATATGCTCCTGGAGTTGGGCGCTGATCCTGAGAAAAACTATGAAATTCTGTTTAAGGTGCTGACACCTAAACCGATTGAAGAGAAAAAAGAAATCGTAAATCCAGAACTTGATCCGAATGAAGTGGCCGAGGAGTCAGAGGAACTAGAGGAGCTAGAGGAGCTAGAGGAACTAGAGGAACTAGAGGAGCTAGCGGAGCTAGAAGGCCTAGAGGAGCTAGAAGAGCTAGAGGAGCTAGAAGAGCTAGAAGAGCTAGAAGAGCTAGAGGAGCTAGAGGAGCTTGAGGAGCTAGAGGAGCTAGAAGAGCTGCAGGAGCTACAGGAGCTAGAGAAGCCAGAGGAGCTAGAGGAGCTTGAGGAGCTTGAGGAGCTAGAGGAGCTAGAGGAGCCAGACTTACCTATGCAGATCCCAAAGAAATTGGCGCCTGTAGATAATGATAATAATGGTAAACCCAGCTCTATGAATGAGAATACGATGGCCCCGAGCGTCGCCAACATTCCAAGGGTAGTACTTAAGCCAATTCCCATGCCAGGGAACATCAACAATATAAACAGAGCTCCATTTGACTTCAGTAAGCTTCAACCCCAACCTACCCAAACTTCTCAATCGCCTAAGTTTGTAATACCAACTTGTCCGGCGAGCAAAGTTCGAAAACCAATTATGCCAGGAGCTCCTACGACAAATAGATTTGTGCTAGATAAGCCAGAAGCACCTAAGCCGACTTCAAGCCAAGTGAATCTTAAGCAAGTGATTCCTATGGAAGTGACTCCTGGGCAAGTGACTCCTAGCCAAGTGACTCCAAGGCAAGTGACTCCTGCGCAAGTGAATCCTGGGCAAATGACTCCTGGGCAAATGACTCCTAGGCAAATGACTCATCAGCAAGAAACTCCTAGGCAAATGACTTCTAGGCAAGTGACTTCTAAGCAAATGACTCCTGGGCAAATGACTCCTGGGCAAATGACTCCTGGGCAAATAACTCCAAGGCAAGTGACTCCTGCGCAAGTGAATCCTAGGCAAATGACTCCTAGGATAGTGACTCCTCGGCAAGTAACTCCTAGGCAAATGACTACTAGGCAAATGACTTCTAGGCAAGTGGCTCCTCAACTAGTAACTCCTCAGCAAGTAACTCCTAGACAAATGAATCCTAGGCAAATGACTCCTAGGCAAGTGAATCCAAGGCAAATGACTTCTAGGCAAGGTACTCCTACGAAAGTGACTCCTCAACAAGAGACTCCAATTCAAACGACTCGTAGGCAAGTGAATCCTAGGCAAATGACTCCTAGGATAGTGACTCCTAGCCAAGTAACTCCTAGGCAAATGACTACTAGGCAAATGACTTCTAGGCAAGTGGCTTCTCAACAAGTGACTCCTCAGCAAGTAACTCCTAGGCAAGCGAATCCAAGACAAATGACTCTTATGAAAAAGACTCCTCAACAAGTGACTGCTCAGCAAATGATGCCTAGAAAAGCGACTCCTCAACTAAAAACTCCTAGGCATATGACTACTAGGCAAATGACTTCTAGGCAAGTGAATCCTAGGCAAATGACTCCTAGGCAAGCGAATCCTAGGAAAGTGACTCTTCAACAAGTGACTCCAAGGCAAATGACTACTAGGCAAATGACTTCTAGGCAAGAGACTCCTATGCCAATGACTACTAGGCAAATGACTTCTAGGCAAGAGTCTCCTAGGCAAATGACTCCTCAACAAGTGACACCTCAGCAAGTGAATCCAAGGCAAAAGACTTCTAGACAAGAGACTCCTATGCCAATGACTACTAGGCAAATGACTTCTAGGCAAGAGACTCCGAGGCAAATGACTCCTAGGAAAGTGACTCTTCAACAAGTGACACCTCAGCAAGTGAATCCAAGGCAAAAGACTTCTAGGCAAGAGACTCCTATGCCAATGACTACTAGGCAAATGACTTCTAGGCAAGAGACTCCTAGGCAAATGACTCCCAGGAAAGTGACTCTTCAACAAGTGACACCTCAGCAAGTGAATCCAAGGCAAAAGACTTCTAGGCAAGAGACTCCTATGCCAATGACTACAAGGCAAATGACTTCTAGGCAAGAGACTCCTAGGCAAGTGACTCCTAGGAAAGTGACTCTTCAACAAGTGACACCTCAGCAAGTGAATCCAAGGCAAAAGACTTCTAGGCAAGAGACTCCTATGCCAATGACTACTGAGCAAATGACTTCTAGGCAAGAGACTCCTAGGCAAATGACTCCTAGGAAAATGACTCTTCAACAAGTGACACCTCAGCAAGTGAATCCAAGGCAAAAGACTTCTAGGCAAGTGACTCCAAGGCAAATGACTTCTATGAAAGTGACTCCTCAACAAGTGACTCCTCAGCAAGTAACTCCTAGGCATATGACTACTAGGCAAATGACTTCTAGGCAAGTGAATCCTAGGCAAATGACTCATCAGCAAGTGACTCATCAGCAAGTGACTCCAAGGCAAGTGAATCCTAGGCAAATGACTCTTAGGGAAGTGACTCCTCAGCAAGTGACTCCTCAGCAAGTGACTCCTCACAATGGGACTCCTGGGCAAATGATTCCTAGGCAAGTGACTCTTCAGCACGAGACTCCTCAGCACGTGAATCCTCAGCAAGTGACTCCTGAGCAAATTACTTCTGAAGAGATTACCACATCGTCGGAAACCACGGTTACGGTTCAAACTACTGTATCCAAGGCCGTAAAGGTTGTGTCTCGGCCTTATGCCCCAAACGAAATTCTACAGACAAAAACCGTGATTGTTAAGAAGGAATATGTTTCGGAAGAGGTAATAACTACTGAGGTAATACCCCGGACAAACTATCTTCAAATCGCTTGGCCGGAACATCCTCAACTGGCTCACGGATGCCTTCCCCCATTTCCTGGTCAGGTACCACCTCTACCGATATGCAATACTGACGAGCAAATTAATAACTGGCTTCAGATTGCTGATAACATGGTTGAAAACCAAATTCTATTTATCGATGCCAAGGATAGATTAGAAAATAACGGTCGCCCATTGGGCCAAGTTGAGCCATTCGATCTTCCCCCACATATTGCAATCATCTTTGACGAGGAAATTCTGGGATTTACGAAGCCGCAGATTAAACTAATGTCCCTCAAATGGCACAAACATTTTGGCGCTGAATCGTTGGGTAATTTACGCAGATTTTTGCCCATTCCGGATCTGACAGCTGGCTTGGATTTTCTCCAGGCGTTAACGCTCAATATTCCCAAAGATAGCCCCAGAGCCGAGTTCTTTAGCATTGAAATGAGATACACGAATATATATAGCAATGTAGAATCGAAATCTGCATTAAATCTACGAATCTCGGCACGTTCCCTTGATCGTGCCGTCTACAAGCACCACATTGATGTGCTCCAGCATTCATATGACACCATTCGCATGACTTGGATCTGGCCCAATGGCACGTTCTTGATCATCAACGGACTCACTCAGGCTGCGTTGGAGGACACCCATCAGTTTCTGGTACCGAAATTGGTGGATTTAAATTTTAAGGGTGCTCCCACTCTCAATATTACCTACATGCATCTAATTTCCCAAACCCGTTTTCCCTGGGGGATTGATTTGCGTAAATTCAGCCAGATGGAGGCCCTGGTTGGACCACTATTTGGTGAACACTATTGCTACTATGTGACTAAGGATTTGCCTGGAGTAACGGCTCGGGTGCACGACTCTGGACAGGTGCAAGTGTTTTCCATGCTCATAACAACTGCCAACAATCTGATCTCCAGACTATACCCCATTATGTTCAAATATCGATTGATTAACTCCAACGCTCTCATTTAAAGGATATCCTAATAAATATGATAATTCATATAATTTGTTTGTATTTAATATATATGTATTACAACAATCAAGAAGTCATATATTCCATCTTATTACGCATACATTTGTTGACATCACAGGCGTTAAAGGTCGCAAAAACAATTTGGTTGCTTTATGGTAATTCGAGTGGCCATAAAGCAAAAACATTGTGATTGTTTAAAACTTTAATGCCTGCCGGATTTTTGTTGGAAACAACAGACAAAAAAAACAAAGAGCGTAGAAGTTCTGCGAACCATAACGAATGACATCCATACTAGACTAGACGCGGTTTTAGCTTCGCCTTCGGGCAAGCAAAAGCTGAAACTGAAAACCCAGCGGGTTATAGACGTCAGTTGGTAGAAGGAAAATATATAGCAATGAGAAGAAAACCAGGTAACTTTGAGGCTTTTGTTTTTTTATAAAAGAAAAGTGAAAACTATAGAGGAAAACAGGTGGAAAATCGAGGTAGCACAGCGCGAACCTGCAGCTTAACAAGTCCTCTGTTATTCTTTAGCGTAGAGATAATTTACAAGGAAATCGTTTTAATTTAACCACAACTTTATCTAAGCCATAAACAGAACAAATCAATTGTCTCTTTTCTATACCCATATGAATGAATGCACTTTATTTAAATATTATTAGCAACAAAATTGGCAAATGTTATGGACAAACAATGACAGGTAATTGTTACTTTCAACCCATTTGGATGTCCCTGCTATTTTTCCCGCATTTCTCTTTCTTCTCTATTTTTTTTTCTCCCACTGAGTGGGTTTTCTTTGATTTCCAGCCTCTGGCTCACTTATCTAACAAATAACTCCCATTTCTGTCTTTACTCGCACGGCATGCAAAATGAAAGTGAAGGCGGCTGGCACACAGAACACAAAGTGAAATTTTTTTTGTTTGTTTTGCATGCTCCCAGCATAGGGCACAGAAAGTGTCTAGATCGGGGTCACTGCTGACGCGTGTTACAACCGAAAACAATAGCAAGGTAAGTGAGTCTTATGTGTAACTCCTCATGTGGGCTTTTTCATTTAAGGTAAGGAGTAATTTCAGTTTAAGCTGAGCATCGATATAAATTAAGTTTATAATTGTCCAGTCACCAGTAGATATTTACACGTCAAGTAAGTGCATTTGAATATAATAAATAAATTCCATAATTGATATTACACGGGATTGATTGGCTTAATTGATGTATTAAATCGAAAGCAATGACTGGGTTGATGACTCTTCAATGGAAAATAAAGATAAACAATAATACACAGAAATTTTGGAGAGTGGAATGGGAAAGTTTTTATACTCTGCAGCTTCACAAATAATATAAATTAATATAAATAATACTACTCTTTCCAAATACTGAGAATAAGACATTTTTAAGAGCTAGAAATGTTTATCTTTATGATACTTTGGTTCAAAAGTACTCAGAAGCTTGTAACATTGAGAAGCAGTCATTTTCGGCCCTATAAATCATATATATTCTTGATCAGAATAAAAAACTGAATCGATCTAGCTAAGTTTTGCGGCCAAAAAATTTTAGTAAATTTTTTGCAAATTTTATAAGGGGATACATCGTTAAAATGATCAAAAATTTATGAAAAATCTTAATTTTTTTAAATTTTTATTATTTAGTATGCAGATTTATTAACCTAATAAAAACTAACACGGGAAAGCTTTCCGAATTGAAATTAATGCTTTTTTGGCTTAGTTATGAGATTTTTTAACTTTGATTTGTCGAAAAAATTGTCATAGAAAAATATTGTTAAATCTTGATTCAAATAATGCGAATGTTTTTCTAATTCGATTCTATAATTTGTAATTGCAAGGGTCTATAATCTTAGGCTTTCAGAAGTTAGTTTTCTTTCTTGTTGTCTATAAGCCATATTCGATTTTATTAGGAAAAATAATCTTAACAATTGTTTGCATATTTTATACATATTATGTACATAAGCTTACATTAAGTGCAATACGTTTTCTATATTCCAAATTTCAATAAATAAACTATGATATCTATACTTTCCCTGGCAGAGTATATCAGTATATCTACTACACTTTTTCTAGGCATCCTTTTATTTATTGCAAATTTTAAAGTTTTTAATTTGGGAAGACACCATTAAGCCCCACTTTTCCATGGCCTTAGGTTTGGTAATATTAGAAAACGAAGCAAACTGCCAAACAATTGATGCTGACAAGTCGTTTTTTCTTTTTGCCTTTATTTATAGTAAGCTAATCTCTTCATTATTATTATTATTATTATTATTTTCGCAAGAGTGTTTCACTTTCTTCAGCTTCAGTTCGAGTTGAGACGAAAAGTGACGAGTCAAATAAAGTTGGATGCAATTATTTAGGTTTTTATTTGAAAGGAGTTCAAAATATAACCTTTTATTCTGTGACATTCCTTGCCTTTCTTCAGATATATTTTATTAAGTATTTCCATGCCTGATTGTTGTAATAAAATATATGAAAGACAAGGAATATAAATTAATATAGTTATCCAAATTGCCAAATGAACAGTTATTTCTTTTTTTTTCAATTAGTATTGATTGAAGAAGGTTCCCTCATTGTAATAGGGCAGGGCTGCCGGGTTGTTCGGTATACCATTCGGATGTGGGAATACAGGGAATCTCGGTGGCTGTACGTCATATCTTGGGGCAAACCCAGGTTGAAAGTATACAGGACATCTTGGGAAAACACCAGGTGGAAAATATACAGGATATCTTGGCGGCTGTTGAACAAAGTTGGGATTCGGCGGAATGATTGCAGGGCATCTTGGTTGTTGATAAAAATTGGGATTAAAGTTGGGTCGTGCGACTACAGGATACCTCTGCGGCGGATTTCTCGGCGGTATTGGTACTATCTGTGGAGTGGGCAATAGTACCATACGGGGTTTCTCAGTTCGCTGTCTATTACCAGAACCCCGTCCCTTCCGAGAACGATATCCGCCAGCTCGAGGAGGCTTTGGTGGCAACGATAACGGCAACGATGGCAACGATGGCAACAAAGGCAACGATGGATTCTGTACTGGCTTCGAGTAAAATTGCATGGTTGCATACGGAAGTGATGGCATTGCCAGAGGCTGTCGCATTTCGGCACACTCCCTGCGTATATCCATAATGACGGGCATAAGGGCATCCACCAGGGGCACCTCATTCTGCAGGAGAGCAGCCTGCAAACGATGCTGCTGATACATTGTCAGCATCATGGGTGGTGAGATTTCAGCATTGTAGGAGGTGCGAGTGGGATCATAGTCCCCTTCATTCTGTGGCTCCAGCCTAAAGTCCATGGTGCTGATGGTCTGAAAGGGCATGTTCAGGAAACCCGGTTCCAGGGGTCCTGCCTCATAGGTGCCCAATGGCACCACTTCCATGGATAACTTCTTCGATTGGTTTTCTTCTCCTTGGTTCATTTGACTCATGGGTGTAATGGTCACAGTGGTGCGGGGCACAGTTTTCGGATCCGGTTGACGCTCCGGATGGGCAAAGAAATCAATGGCATTGATATAGGATGACATATCGGGCAGACAATTGGTAGTGGGCAGAACTCCCGGCGGCAGATGCACTGTGGCATGAGTGATACCCGGACGAGCTTCCATACGAGGCAAACTGGGCTGGAGCCCGGGATGTGGCTGTGGCTTGGTCTTGGGCATGGGCTTACCCCGATTGGGAGAGTTTAGCTGTTCCTCCTGCTGCTGCTGCTGCTGCTGCTGCTGATGTTGCTCCTCCTGCTGCTGTTGCTCTTGTTTTTGCTCTTGCTGCAGCTCTTGCAGCTGCTTCTCCGCTTCCTCGACCTGCGGAAGACACTCTGGGCCTGTGTACATCATCTGAATGGTGGTTCCATGGGGAAGAAATTGATTGCGGAGGACGCGCCAGTCCCTATTGGCCTGATAGGGAGTGGCTTCTTTGGCTGGAGCGGCCCGAGGCGGTTGTGGGTGGTGAGTTTTGAAGTTCTTGAACTTGGAGAACGACGATGGCCAGCGCACCGCTTTTATAGTTGGTGGTAGCGGTGGCTCCTGTCGTTGTGGAGCTTGTGGGTGGTGTCGTCTTGACTGTGGGTACCGCCTTGGCGGTGGGTGACGTCGTGGTCGTGGTGGTGGTGGCGGTGGTGGAGGTGGTGGCTGTTGCTGTTGCGACGGCGATGCTAGCTGTAGCTCTTGCGACGGCAACGGATCCAATGTTTTTTTCTCGTTTTGGGGCTTACCCTGTGTCTTCATCTGCGACTTTTTGTGCTTTCGATTAGGCATTTTTGTTCAGGAAAAAATGTATTTTATAGGAGAGGCAAGACCCGTGTGTTCCTGCTCAGATGTCCGAAAGGAATTGCTGGATAAAACCAACTTGACAGTTTAAAATAATTTCCAAAGCTCTCTAGGATGAAACTTCTTCCAGGAAAACAAATACAAGTAAAAACTAGAGGCGGAGTCACATCGATAACATCGATTAAAATGCATCTCCAGTGTTGAAAAATTTAGAAAATAGCTAACACAATTTGCATTGTGATTTATGCATGGTCCTAGTAATTAATCATAAACTGTTTAAATTTATTCATTTATTATTACTATTAAAATAACGCGATAGCGTTCTAGTTTTTACGAGAGATACTTCGTTTCTTTAAAAACGAATGGATGTTTCACGGAATCCAATAGAATCTATGGAATCAATGTTGAAATCAATATTTTCCTAGCTCAACCAAGGGTTACTATATTTTATAATTGGTTTATAATTAATTTTCAACTTACAACCAATCGTATAAACAAGAACAAACGATAGTACGTAAGCTTTTACAATAGGATACATCGTTTCATTAAAAGGAAATCGATGTTTGACAAAGGGAATCGATAGGACCGATGTTGAAATCGATTTATTCCCTGCTTAACCAAGTGCTGTCTTACTTTATAATTTGCTTATAATTATTTCACAACTAAATTCTTAAGTTTAACACTCTTTAACTATCTTCATTATTTCCCTATCCGCAGATCAGATCGCCCCGATGTGCTGTGAATTAATCATAGTTTTACGCAATTTCCCCGTAAGACAAAAAAGAGAAGAAACCAAGAAGCCAACAATGCCAAGATGAGATTTCCATTGGACCCACAAAAAAACACAAGGTACAAAAACAAAGTTGCGTTTTCATCTCGAACCGCTTCTCGTCTCTATATATTTTTTTTTTTTGCCGGCTTCCTATTGTTTTAGTGGAAGCTGCAAAATGCAACTGGCAACCGGATATGGTCACAAAAATTTGAAGTTTCATTCCCATTCCCATTCCCATCTGCAAAAAGCCTCCGTCTACCATATGCACATGATTTTCTGTTTGTTTGCGGTTGATTTTCCCCTCCTCGGGGGTACTTACAGTTTGGTGTTGTTGATGGTGTGGTTCCTACTTTGATTTCCTCACTGCGGCTTTGCTTTTTTTCTTTTTTTGTATTTATTTATTTATAAAGTTTCCTCCCACAGTCAATGGATTAAATGGATTTCCCTCTTGATTCAGGTCCAGCTGCAAGTTAAATAAATAAAGTGATTACAAATTGGATTCCTGGAGATCAATCATCTAATAGCAAGTAAAATGGTGAAGAAAACAGGTGAGTATTAACAGTATAAAGATATATATATAAGAATACCACTTAATAGTTATTTTAGTTTTAAAAATCTTTACATATTACAGATCAGTTTAAAGCTTAGCTCTGTGGACGCCAAGAAAGAGAAGCTCAAAGTGGTGGTCGGGCAAAGAAATGTAAAGTCTAAGAACTCTATGTCCTAGATCTTTTTTAAAGAGTTTCACATTATAATCCATCATTTTAGCTTTGTCTTTGACTCAAGTATTAGTCGAACCTCTAAGATCTTTGCTCTGATTTGGATGCCCCTGTTGACTTGGTCACACTCAGTTGCGCTCCACTGCGGATCCGTATGCCTGGCTGGGCCTGATCTGTACCGATCTGACGGATCTCCACAATGCCACCATAATGTTATAAGATTAAGTTTCAGCTGCTGCGTATTTTTTGGTTAATCAAAATCAAAAACAAAACGTGCCGCTGCCTTGATTTTGTTTAATTACAATTGTAATTTGGCAACAGAGTTGAGGCTGGCAACAGTGACCCAAAAAGATATACACTATATAAGATTATGGTTTCTTTCGCTATTATTATTATTATATAGGATTAGGAATTCTTTAACCATTATTAAGAATATATTTTTATATGTATTTCAGAAGGTTTTGGAGTTCTATAAGGGCATATAACATTCGGTTTGCTGAAAGTTGCTCACCTTTTCTGGTTGCTCATTACATTAAGTGATCTTCGCTTGAGTTTTTAAGAAACTTATGCAACATTGTAAGGCAATTAATTCAGCTCGATAAGAACGTGCTCGACTTGGGGTTGGGTCTCGAGCACCATAAACCATGAAATGGCTTAAACAGCAGCGGTAAATATATTAGAACTCAAAGCCAAGAGAGGGTAATGTAATATAATCATCTTACTATATGAAAATGCCTCCATTATATTCAATTTTTTTGTATATAAAATCGATTTTAAAATTTGTAATATACATATTTATATATATTAAATAATAATAATAATAATTCTTGTGCTGGTGTCACGTCCGTCGTCTGAGAAAGTGAAACAAAACCAATTCCATTGACCGGGTTTGGTATTGGCGCTTCTTATTCCTATTCTGTTTTGGTTTCAACTTGAAGTTTGTTTTCCATTTCTACTTCTGTTTTTCTATGATTTTGTTGTTCTCTTTCCATCTTTTTCTATTTCTATTTCTAACCGACGCGTTTGGCATGAGCAAGTGGGCTCGGTTAGGTGGTACTTTCCTATTGGGGTCACCACCGGTTTGTTGTGGGTGCGATTAGCTGACACCGATTCCCAGCAGCTGATAAGGCCAGTTGGATGTAGGGCGCGGGTCAAGTCAAATTTTATTGATGATTTCAAATTGATGTTTTTACAACAAAAATTTAAATGGGGTGATTTTAACTAATTGAATATAGGGAAAAAATTCTACTTAATAAATCAACGAAAATACTAATAATACTAATATATAAATATTTTCTAAATACCAATTGATGAAGGAGTAAATAGCATGGAAACAAATAAATATGACTGGTATTATTTATAAACACATTAAAGCCGGAAAGATCAAGCTGCTATAATAAGATATTGCTTTAAACTAATTTATTTATTCATTGTTACCTAACTGCCACTCCCTGTTTTTAGTCAAATCAAAAGTCAAGAAAATAAATTAATAAAATTATTGGTTTAGATACAATTCCAATTTGAAATAACACAACACACAAAAGAATGCTTTCGAACAGGTTAGATAAAGCCCTGCTTGAGCTGACATTTAAAAATCGCGATTTATTACTATATAAAATTATGTATCTATATTATTTATGAGTATTTAAGAATTTGTACAGACTTTATGTTGAACCTAAACTCCATCTGGCTCATATTTTCCGCTTGCCATCTTTATAATATAATTCATTTATAACCAGTGTTTCCCACACGTCTGAGCCTGGGGTTAAATCCGCTCAAGTTGAGCTAACTATGTGCAAAACAAAAGCCACGAATATTTGCCAAATATTTAATAACTATAATTAAGTGTTTAAGCAGAAAATTGCATAATTACAAATGTTTTTGTTTTCCTCCTTTATTTTGTATATATTATATTAAATATATTATAATTTTAAGCAGAAGTTTGCAAATGCAGAAGGCAATTTCCCATAACAATCTTAGGAATGGGCATGGAAATCCGTTAATCAGATATCGGGATGAATGAAAATTTAAAGAAAATGAAGACCTATATGTATTTTTCACGTTAATCATGGTGTTAGTTCTCAAGGTGACTATTTTGTCCGCTGGGAAAAACTTTCATATCGACTAATGTTAATGACTCTAAGAGGGGGGGAAACCTGGGGAATGACTGGCTGGGTTGAGAGAAGTCTTGGCATTGAAATCTGGTTATTGATGATTGCACGCAAGCCACGAAAATGTGGAAAGATACAGATATAACCAACATATACATATGTGTATATATCTTGGCTGAACTAAAGCTATCCGAAAACATTGCATCGCCACAGACATCATCATCTTCCATTCAAATGGGCTTGGGGAAAAGGAAAACCTTTCTATTCGCTACCGTTTCAGACAATGGTATCATGATATATGGCGTATATGCATTGAATATGTTATATATATTTATATATATGACCGATTCCCTGCAGAGCAGTACACTTTTTCTTTTGGCTAATTGCACTACTTGGCCAGCAGCAGCAGTAGCAGCAGGCGGTGCCACTTTCCCGAATGGCAGACACAAAAATTAACAATATATTAACAATTATATATTATATATACAAAACTATCTTTGTTAAAAGGGAGCAGTAGAAAAGGTTAACAATGGAAATGAATGGCATGGGGTGACATAATGGGGCCTCTTAACTTCCCTATGGCCATTTACAGCTCCTTGTAATTAATTATATTTAATTGTGATTAATCAATTTGCCATCTCATGACTAATATCATGAAATCATAATGCGTTACATGATTTTAAATATAGATAATTGGAGGTGGAGAGCAACAGCAAGAGCAACAACAACACCTGATTATCAGTTCCTGTTTCTTCTTCGTCTTTTCCTTTTTCACCCATCACATTTCCTATGCGGATACGAAAGAGGGGAATGACTGCTAAAGGGTGTAGCAAAGGGGGGGAAATTGAGATAAAAGAGGCAGAAAGCAGAGATCAAAAGATGCGATGGATATTTATATATTATAATTTGTAAATTATAACTAATAGAAAATTAAATATTTCCTCTTACATCTTCTCTATTAAAATAAGTACTATTTTCCCTATAAATCAGTCCAATTTTGTTGTAAAATCACTTCCCTAAACACAACTAAAAGAAAGAGAAACCTTAGACTTCCCAGAGGTAGGTCTAAGCCTTTAATAATAGCAATTCTTTTATGCTTAATACAATTTTCAGCATTTATTTGTTGCACAACATTTTTATAAAAGTACTAAATAAAAGGGGAAAGAGAGAGGGGAGAAAAGAGAGAGGAGAGCGGAGAAAGAGATGGTTAGCCCCATTCGCTGCACAACGGGACGTATGAGTAACGTCAATTGAATTGACAGTTTAAACGAAATTACATAACATACACAGCACACACACAGCCAGGAGGAAAAGCCAGGGGTAGCAGGAGGGAAAAAGTTCAGACAATAGTTTAGAGGGGCCTTAGTAAGCGCTTAGAGTGGAAAATGTCTGTGAGCTAATTATTTCAGTGCTGCACAGAGAGAAACAAAAGCAAAATTGGGGAAATTAAATTCCTTTCAAATATATATATGTATAATTATTAATCTCTTTAAAAAATGTATATATATTTATTTTGGAGTATTTTTAAACAACATTAAAGCAAGAATTCAATGCATATTTATATCTTTATTATGACTTAATTATTTCGCTCAGTCTTATTGTTGAATTTTAGCATGTGAGCTCGACTTTTGAACGCTTTGTACATGTCTATAGTCTGGCTAAGGAATGCAGCGGTGACATCACACTTAAATAGGGTTTTATACCCTTGCAGGGTATTATAATTTTAATCAGAAGCTTGCAACGCAGTGACGGATTCGTCTCCGACCATATAAATTACATAAATTCTGGATCATCATTAACAGCAGAGTCGATCTAGTATTCGATTCAGTAAGAAACTCTGAACAGTAAGTATCTATGACCAGTAAGTAACTCTGAGCGTTAAGCAACTCTGAACAGTAAGTATCTATGGCCAGTAAGTAACTATGATAAGTAAGTATGTATGATCAGTTACTAACTTTGAGCACTAATAAACAATGACTTGCAACTTTGAAAACACAACACATGTCTGAGACTTGGCTGGTAGAAGTCACTTCGTTCCAGGGATGTTAAAACAAGTTGGGAATTATATGCAGCTGAACAGTAAGTAACTCTGAACAGTAAGTATCTATGACCAGTAAGTAACTCTGAGCGTTAAGCAACTCTGAACAGTAAGTATCTATGGCCAGTAAGTAACTATGATAAGTAAGTATGTATGATCAGTTACTAACTTTGAGCACTAATAAACAATGACTTGCAACTTTTGTAACACAACACATGTCTGAGACTTGGCTGGTAGAAGTCACTTCGTTCCAGGGATGTTAAAACAAGTTGGGAATTATATGCAGCTGAACAGTAAGTAACTCTGAACAGTAAGTATCTATGACCAGTAAGTAACTCTGAGCGTTAAGCAACTCTGAACAGTAAGTATCTATGGCCAGTAAGTAACTATGATAAGTAAGTATGTATGATCAGTTACTAACTTTGAACACTAATAAACAATGACTTGCAACTTTGGTAACACAACACATGTCTGAGACTTGGCCGGCAGAAGTCACTTCGTTCCGGGGATGTTAGAACAAGTTGGGAATCATATGCACAGATGTGCGAGATTTCTTTTGGAACAAATTTAAGAGCAACCTATTTGAATAAAACTATAAAGTTATTCTGCTATATAATTTTACTAGTATATAAGTCGGAGCATGGCGAATCGGTGGACTATATATATACATATATATAGCTGCCACAGGAACGATCGGAGAATTTTATTAATAAAAAAATTTCCAGTTTTTTATATCATATACATAGCTGCCATACAAACAATCTTAAAAAATAGAGGAAAATGGAAAACGGTGAATGAAATGAAAGCAAGAATTACTTTATTGTTTTTTAACATAAATTTATAGAATTTATATTGTATCAATTTCTAGTGATCGAATTTAAGGGGTATACAAACTTCGGCGTGCCGAAGTAAGGTTCCTTTCTTGTTTCTATATACTACCTTTACTATATAGTCCACTTACAAGCACGCCCGCCCACCTGTCTCTCTGTCGATGACTGTGCCTTCAGTTAAATAAATTAAGTTGCGATTTACATAAATTTTGGTAATCAAATCGAGGTGACAAAGTGTATAATTTATGCGCTACGCTTGATAACAACAAAGGTGGCGAACACAACAATGAAAAATATACAATAACTATTCAAATAGGTATATACATATATGAACATACATATGTTTAAATAAATAAATAAAATGACAATGAAATCGGTATTTTTAATGCAACTGCAACTGCAACTGCTGCAACGGTACTAGTTCGTATTTGCTTTTTCACTTAAAAACTCAAGGTAGCATCATTATTCCCATGATTATGCTAAAATCGAAAGAAAAACGGAGTCATCCTTCCCATAAATGATAAATTATACTTTGCCAAGATTAACAGAAAAAAACATCCAAGAATTGGATACTATTTGCGGAAAATCTCTATATAGATAATAAATGTGCGAAACAATATAACGCATTTAAGTTCATATCGAAAGTATATGATATATCTAAATATTAAATATTACATATTATTATTCTGTAACGTTAAAATATAGATTTATCGAAGGATTAACTAAAGATTAAATACATTTTTGAAGGTAATTAAAAAAATAAATTATCAACAGATACATTATCGCTGTTCTGCTTTTGTTTTTGTTGTATTGTTAGCATTATTTATTAGGTATTTGCCACGTGCATCCTATTGTTGTTGATTTTTGTTATTGCTGACACCATTTTCGAAAGCATCTCATTTGGTTAAGAAATATGTATTCCATGTGCCAAGCAGCCTATTGTGCGTTCAATAAACTAAACTATTGCCATTGTTGCTGCATTTGCAATCCGTTGAATTAATATGTTTTCTTTTTTATTTGTTATCTTTTTCTCCGTTTGTTTTGCTGTGCCATAATGTGGCAGCAAATGGGTCAATACGGGTGGAAAAAAATTAAAAGCATAAAAAATTAACACCACGGATCGATCCTAGAGAACTTGGAAGGTCAATAGGCCCACGATCTTCATGAAGATGCCAAGTTCAAAGTCGAGACAACAAGGAAGTGTGTGAAGTAAATCAAACAAATTAAACACTTTAACAGAAGGGAAGGCCTTTTTGAAGAAGCCGAAGAGTTTATACTCTGTCACAATGAAGTATACAAATACCTTTGCAGTTTGCAATTAAGTTATGGGATAGTATCAGTAGTAGAACAGCATAACTAAGCTTAAAATAATAGCGTTCTTTGAATTGGTATTTATTGATATTTTTATATAACAAATCAAAGCCTAAAAAACTCATAACTAAGCCAAAAAATCATTAATTTCAATTCGGAAAGCTGTCCTATGTTAGTTTTAATTAGGATAATAATTCTGCATACTTAATTTCAAATTTTAAAAAAATTTAAATTTTTGAATTTTTTCTTGACAATTTTAACGATGTAACCCCTTATAAAATTTTGAAAAAAAATCAAAATTTGCTTTTGTCTGCCGGAGGTGGCTAGATCGATTCGGCTGTTAATGCTAATCAAGAATATATATGATTTTTAGGGCCGGAAATGACTCCTTGACTTAGTTACAAGCTTCTAACTAAAATTATAATACCCAGAATGGGTATAAATATATAAAATATATTTAAAGAGAGCGAGAGATCTGCAAACTTCTTAGTAATACCCTTAGTTAGAGTATACACATCTCAAGTGAGGTAAATATCAAGCGCAGCTGTTGAAGACTTGAATTTTCAAAGCTTCCCCCTAAAATTGAAGTTCAAACTGAAGCTGCCATCCTCGCCGCTGGCAATACACTTGCCCCATTTGATCACTCAATGTTCAATCATCATTATTATTCACATTAAATTATTTTGGATAATGCTTAAAAACCAACAAAACCTCCCATGTCTCCTGTTCTGACATTGGCCTAAATTCAAATGTATTATTTTGTGTAGTTTAATAGTACATTTGTCAGGGCTTTATAATTAAGAGGGGTTACCAAGAGGTTAAAATGGGGGAAAACACCGTGAAACGGAAGAGGCTTTACACGGGAGTGTCTTGAATATATTTTTTTAAATTATTTTTTAAACGCTAATAGGCGGGAAGTTGCCTTCAATGGCACGCTTCGTGCTCATCTACATATTTATATATATAAACCCCTCTCTATACCTTTCTTATGCGACTTTTGATGTACCCAGTATAGCACCTCTTCAGAATAAACTATTTCGATTTTATAAACCCTCTAATATCATAATTATACGTAATAGTTAAGGAGCTATGCAGCTATTTTTGTTTATAATTATTGAATTGAGTATGTAGACTTAATGTCTGATATACCCCAAACAAAATGGATGTTTACAGGGATACCAGAACAGTCACAGTAAGTAGCTATGGCCGTAAGATCCGCAGCTGATTCAGCGTCAGTTGATTCTACTTACTTAACGTGGTGGCCTCTATGCCCGACCAGTCATAAACTGGTTTAACGACTCAAAGTTCTTCGCACACACACAACCAGAGAGTGTGGAATAAATAGATATATGTATGTTTATGGAGTTTATGTAGTTGTTGCCCAGGTAGGCTCTATGGCAGTTAGAATTTAATTAATTGCAATGCAAACTATTTCTATTTCTCTAGATATAACTATTATTGTTATTGTTAGCACGTTTGCTGCGAGTCTTAACTATGGGCACCCCTGCTATTGACGCACTTGAACTTGTCAACAATGAAAATGCACTTGACTGTGACTCATAGGAATCCTCACGCTTCCGATTAGATAAAGCCACAAATTGATAGCAAGAAATATACAATGTACTAATAAAAATAAAACAACAGGTACAGATAAATGATTAAAGAAAGAAAAAACTGTAAAAAGAGAGGTAGTAGCATCAGAATCAGTGCATGGCAGCTGGCAAAGTGTAAATAATTAAAAGCCAATCCAGTTAGAAAAGGCATTAAAAAAAAACAAGCTGCCCGCTGACTGTGCTATTAAATAAAAAAAGTAATAACAAATCGCTTGCTTTGGAGAGATAAAGTCGGACACTAATAGGGGTCAGGCTATTACTAAATCGCTATATAATAGATCACCTGATACCTGGGGTATTGTAAAGTTAAGTCACGAATCAAAACAACAATAAAATCCATATCGAAATTAAGCAAATTATAAGATAGATAACAAAAATATGTGCATTACGAAAAATTACAAATGAAATTACAAAATTCTAAGTTAAATATTGAAAAATTTAACTAACGAATAAACACTTAATAAAGTCCAATTGGCTAAGCACAATCACTTAATTACCGTTAACCGTGGTGTACTGTAGTTTCATTTGTTTTTGGCCCGCTCTTAATTGGCAACTCCGGCGTTTTGGCCATGCTCGACTAACTAAGTGAGCCTCGTTTAACGGTCTTTTTATTAACCACCACACTTGTACTCATTGGGAGCAGCTGTTCATAGCTCCCCCTTTCCCGCTCTATCACTCTCTCTCTCTCACTCCTGCTTGCTGCAGCAGAAGAAATAATTGCAAAAGTGCAAGCACTGCTCCTCTCTTTCCTTCTCTCTGAGATCCTTACACTCCTCTGACATTCCATCTTCTCAAACACAAACAATTGCAAACGTGCAGAGAGTAGGGCTTTGCTCCTCTCTTTCATTCTCTCTATGATCCTTATACTCCTCCGACCACAGTGCACTCTTATTAGAATGAGATAATAAGAAGAAACAATAGCAAAGGATAGAGAGTAAGATATGCTCCTCTCTTCCTTCTCTCTGAGATCCTTCTACTCCGGCCACAGTGCACTCTTTACAGAGTGATCTAATAAAAATGACTTCTTTCTTTTACGATTAGCAGGGGCAAGAAAGATCACTTTAACTAACTGAAGTTGATTAATATATCCTTAAGTATGCCTCATATAAACAATTCGTATGTTTGCTTACAGAAAGTTTGCATCCTCTTAAGGAATATTTTCCTACATAAAACCAAAATCAAATATGGCTGCCCTTTTCAACATTCCGAGGGACTACTGTGTGCAAAAGGACGTGCACTTTAGTGTTTTGACTTTTGTTTTATTGATTTTTAGCAAGGAGACAGGTTCAAAACGCACACAGGCACACTCACACACGCACAACCACCCACACACGAAGGAAAACACACCCTTGCTGTGTATCCCTGAGAAAAAAAACGCTTGGAAACAGAAGCTAATTAAAGTCAAGCGTAGCTTACCCTGAAAACCAACCTGTGTTTGGAATTTGTTGTATTTGCGTTTTGTCGTAGTCGATTGATTTTGTTTGAAGACACTGTTTAGGCTTAAATAATTCACTTATTCCTTTTTCTTTTTCGTCAATAAAGACGCGCGCCGCACTAGAACAGCAACAACATTGGTAGCAGCACGCCAAACACCCACAACAAACACACACGATAAAAAAAAGACGCAAAAACGCGCGAGAAACCCGCTCGCAACCTGTCGAAACGAACGTTATGTTAAGTGTGACCGCAGCCGAGGTTGCTCAAATATATCGTAGGAACCAGCAGAAAAAATACCAAATAAGACCGTGCGATCTGCAGTTTATGAGTGAAATACCGAAAAAAGCATAACTGACCACCAGGTGGCGTCCTTGCTTTATAAATTACACTGCGATCATTTTTTATTTCCTTGTCTCCCATATTGGGTTTTTAGTTATATATTTTATGAGTCTAGCTTCTTTTGAGGTAGTTAGTTTGCAAGGTACTTATAGAAAATAGCTATGCATTAATTTGTTGTCATTGGTTGTGGTTTGGGGACTTTAGTAGGTCTATAATATCTATATTTTCAATACCAGCATTTTCAAGGATGTCATGGAAATTAAAAAACTAATCTTAAGCATATTATAAATAATTTGAGTCATCTTTTAATGTTTTTCTCGACATAAATATAAATTGGTATTGTGTCACATTTCAATATTTCAAAATTTTGGTATATGCAATTTTACAATATTTTCTATCTGCATTGAGCGATATATATTTTCCGATCAAAGTTCTCCATATTGATATATATTTTCCAATTAAACTTTTCCATTTAAATATATAAATTTACCGATGAAACTTTTCAATATCATCTAAATTCCTATTCCTATAACAGCCTCGAATACGTTTCGGTAACTAGAAAATTTGTTATATAAACTTGTACAGATATATAGTTTAAAATATATTATTCGTATATATATTATACCAATTTTTGGAAATTAAATTTGTCTAAAAACAGCCGCTTGATATAAAACAATTAAATCATATATGTAGCCAATACCCTATAGTTTTCCTTGGTAGAGTGGTATTTTTCAGTATTTATGGTATTTCGCCATCGGACAAGGCACGGCCACACTGCTTGGGACGCCCCCATCCCCAGAATAGTTGTAAATTTCATATCATCAAAGCGGGGCCAACGAGATTTTAGATGTTCTATGAGACGCGTTTCGAACTTTTGTAAAAGGTAAGTGTAGCACCGATGCATCGCCATCTTGGCAACTTCTAAAATGGCGGAGACTTGTCGCTCCAAATCCCGTCACTCCCGCTGTACTAGGTGTTTTGTGTTTTGCGTCATTGTATTTACATACACAGACGTCGTGAGACAGGCGGCAAGCAAAACACCGAGAACAGTTTCTCTACCTCCCTCCCTCCCTAATGTTGTTTTTGTTTCATTTTGTTGTTGTTTTTAATTGTCCAGAATCTTGCATCTGGAGAGATGTCCTACTTCGCGGTCTATATACCGCCATCGAAGGCGGTATTTGAAGGAAGGGCGGCGCAGTGTGCGGGCTCGATTGCGGCAGTGAGCCTGAAGTTGCTGGATGCCAGTAAATCTGGGAATGGGCCTGCATCTGGATCGGGACTGGCTGCAGTGCTGCCGGAGGATTCCGAGTTTCCACGTAAGTGTGAGCGAGATGGGGCTAGTGTTGCGGTGTACCTATGTACGTGTGTGTGACTCTGTGCGGGTGCGTTCGCTGCGTTCCAGTTATTTACCGCTTGTTGCTATATTTGTAATACCCTGGAACTGGGTGGGCGTACACGACACATCAGTATGCTTCCACGTACTACTGTATTTACACAATTTATAATTCAGAGTAATGCTTTGAATATCATTTCTTTCTAACAGAAACTTTTAAATTGATTATTTTGGCTTATTGCAAGTTTTGAAAAAGATTTAAATAGAGAAAATAATTTTTATACGATTTTAAATACATTTCTTAGTAGAGGTAAAAACAAGAGGAAATTAAATTAGTTCTATTCAAAATTATGGTAGGTGATATTAACTTTAAATGAAGTTCAGTTTTGTAAACAAATAATACAATTTATACATTTTATTAGGGTTTTGAGTTGATAATGATTCCTTGGGAAATTCCCAAAATCATCAAAATGGAAACTCCCTAACTCCAGGGTACTTTAAATTAGTTCTCTTGAATTGGAAATTCCTTTATTTTGTATTGATTGTGAATAATTGTCGCTCGGAGTCTTTTTAAAACCATGACTAAGTCACTATATCCAGAAATACCTCTTTAAAAAAATTCTGTAAAAATAAAAAGGTAGAAAACCCACTTGATTCAGCCGGTAATTTCGATTTAGGTGTAAACAAATTGTAAACAATTGCAATTTACCAATCGAATTCAATGCCAGTGTCCCGCTTCCGCTCTCCTTTTCAATGGGAACGTGTAATCCAATTAAATTCGATTACGAAAACGATAAAAGATTGCTGCCCGTTGATTCCAGTCAATGCCCCCCTTCCAAGTGGGGCTGCATTACTAGGACCTTGACCTCTCACTCCTCACTTCCACAAAAGTGGTATAGCCCAGACATATGAGGTCATACTGATAGGATCAGGGCATTGGGGCTTTTCAAATATATATAATACTGCCCTGTATTATATTTAACGTTTCTTGTATTCCTAAGAGGAAAGATAAACCATCGAATTAACATTAACTTAATTAACAAAAAACTCAACTATAACTTCGGTATATCTTCGTTCGGTGTTTCTTAATTTTGCAATTTTATTTATACCTTAAGTGACCCCAAATAATTCTATGTGACAGCCACAAATTCTCATCATTTTTTAACAATTTATTTATAATACCAGCTGTAGGAACAAGTACCCCAGCTAGTGAGTGTGTCTGTAGTTAGTCCCCGGATTCAATATATTCACTATAAATATATATCATTGCCGGCTGACGAGTGCACTTGTTGTTATACCCTTGCAGGGCATATTAATATGGGTCAAAAGGAGATGCTTTCAATTGTATAAAGCATATTCATAATTATATATATTTACTCTATAAGTTCTAGGAACGTAAACTATGTTACATCCTATAGCTGTTAGATCCTACATATTTTGAGGGTACATTAACTTTAGTTTGTTAAACTCAAGTTCTTGGAGGCGGTTAACGTCTGAGTTTATGTCCGTGTCTCTCTTTGCTATGCCCCTTGTCCCAAGCCATTTAGACCAAGTCAACAGTCGTTGCCCAGAACACGAAAAAAAGAAAGGAAAAAAGAAAACAAAGGAAAAGCAGAATCGTAAAAGCAAAGAAAATATAAAAACACAATTGGTGGATTAATTCAAGTCGATCTGTAAAGTACCTTAACCAATTAATTTGATGTTCTTTTAAAATACAAAATAAATATAAACATGTCTAAATCGTCCCGGCTGTTGATGCTAAGGCTGGAAAGCTGGAAGATGGTAGCAAGATATTAAGGGTTATGGTATATGAAACCTATTGAAACACATCAAAAGGAAACTATTTTGGAATTCTACAAAACAAATGTATATATTTTAATGTACAACCTAAATCCCTGCATCGATGGTGCTCTGTTCTAGGTCTAGGAATATTTTTTTACCGGCGTAGTGCCAACAACTACGTCACACGCATATGTATATATAAATATATGTATATATATAGCATTCCCCAATGCCCGCCCACCCAACGCCACCTCGCATTTGTTTTGATTTTGTTTTGCTTCACACATTTCTCGGCTCGTGCGACTTTCGCCATTCATTCGCCGTGATGATGGCGTGACCAACCGAATAGCTAACTTATTTGTTATTTGATTTATCCCTCGATCACCATCGGACCATCCGAGCAGCCGACTCTCCCCTTTGGCTGATATTCACGGAGAAAGTCCATGCACTGAACGTCCTGCGTCACTTTAAGGACGGACGATTGCGTGAGTTCCCCAACCAGGAGCAGGCCGAGAGCTACGTCCAGTACGGATTCGAGAGCATAGAGTCCCTAAAGAGATTTGGCAAGACAAAGACTCCCAGCAGCAGTAAGTAATCCCAAAAAATACAAATACTATACACAGCACATTCTCAAATTTGTTTAATTTCTTAAAGAGAGCATCAGCATTGGCTATAAGAGCTCAACAAATTCCACGGACAATTCGTATAACTCATTCTCGCCTACAGGAAGCCACAGTGGCATTCCCATCGGTGGTATCAGCGCCAATAGCTTTGCCTCCATGGGCGGCAGCTTACATTTGAGCAGCTCGCCCACCTCCTCGCCGGGCAGTGGCAGTGGCATCATTTCCAATGGCCGTCAGCAGCATCAGCAGGAGCTGTCCGGAAGCGGAGGAGAGCGTCCACAGTTCCGGGCACCAGGCAAGCAGGAGTTGCAGGAATTTCGACGGCAGATCGAGCGTGGCAACCTTGAGAGGGTGAAGCAAATCGTGTGGGATAATCCACGCTTTCTTATCAGCAGCGGTGATACGCCCACCTGGCTGACCGAGGGCTGTCGTTACAATGCACTTCACATCTGTGCGCAGGAGAATCAGGCAAAAATAGCCGAGTTGCTGCTAAAAACCATCTCAGACAGGGATTTCACGCAACTGTATGCGGGCAAAAAGGGTAGCAGTCACATGTTCTTTTCCGCCTTAAACGAAAGTCTCTTGGATTACTATCTAAACATGCCGGACAGTGCCCGCGGCGAGACGCCACTTCACCTGGCAGCTAAGCATGGTCATGCGAACGTAGTCGAGGTGCTCGTCGCCTATCCGCAGTGCAAATCGCTAAAGAATATCGATGGACTGCAGCCCAAGGATGTGAGTATTTAATTAGTATTTGTATCAATTAATATGTATTAATAAATTGCCCATTATTACCATAGCTCATCTGCCAACGACCTGCGGCGGAGGCCAACAGGAAATTGGATGTGCTCATGTGCGATCCGCATTATGTGCCCGTGCTGAGATCCGTGGCCAATGAACTGCCACCCCAAGTGGGTAAACCCTTCTCACCAAAACAGCCACCGGTGAGTGCGATAGGATTTACACCATGAAACCCATTTGTAGTCCAACTTTTTCTATAGTATAGATGGTTAATTTAAGTAGGCAGATAATTAGAGATGTATTTTAATTAGGGTTATAGGATTTTCATTTGCTTCTTTGTCTGTTGTACCACGCATTAACATTTATGCATACACAAGTAATAAGCATTGTCTCGCTCTAATTCAATGTCGTTCGAAACAATCATTTCCATTGGAATTGTAAGAATTCATAGGATGAGGATTTACTGACTGATTAAGAACGCCTTTCTCACACTCCCTTTTCCTTTCTCTTCCAGAACCTGCAGCCAAAGGACGAATGCGGCATTCTCAGTACACAATTGTCCATCAGCGCTCTGGCAGGACCAATGTCCCGCGACAAGGCACTCAACTTTTACAAGCGATGGAAAACACCGACTCGTGCAGGGAGCTGCGTAAAGTCACCCATTGTCTCGCCATCTCGCAGGCCAGCGCAGATTCCCAAGAGCAGCAGTGCCAATGGTAATGGTGGTGGAACGGACCGTACGATACGTACGGCACGCAGGCTACCCTTTGAGTCGACCGGAGGCGGCAGCAGTAGCAGCAGCAGTAGTAATGGTAATCTGAGCGAAAGTAACAATAACGATATCGCCAAGATGGCAGACACCTGTGATGATGAGAGCGTGGTCTTAGACCTAAGCCTGATAAATCTATCGAGGAACGGCAGCGAGTATACAGAAAGTTATCGCGAGCGACACATCAAGAACTCGGACATCGAAAAGGGCCTGGAGGTAATCGGACGGCAGTTGGCCAGCCAGGAGTTGCTGGAGTGGCGGGAATACTGGGACTTTCTTGACGCCTTCGTGGACATTCGAACGGCCGAGGGTCTGGATCGACTGGAGGCCCATCTGGTGGAGAAGAGCGAGCAGGCAAAGAAGGAGGATGCAATGATGAATTTTGCCCAGCTGTATCAAAGTCTTGATCTGGTGGCCAGTGAGCAACAGCAACAGATGGACAGATCCGCTGCCAATACCGCTGAGGTTGTGCCCACTTTCACCGAATTCCAGACGCCGTACACTTGTGTGGAGAAGTCGCTGCAGGTGTTTGCCAAGCGGATCACCAAAACCCTGATTATCAATATCAAGGAGGTGACCATCAACGACATGCTGCTCGCCGAGCTGAAGAGACTCAAGACTCTAGTCGCTAGCTTTAAGGTGAGAGCGTGCACCTTGAATACATATTATTTCTAGATCCTTTTCAATATGTGAATATTTCTTCAGATAGACGCCCGCTTCACTCACGTCGATTTTAGCAAGGTGCACTCCCGCATTGCCCACTTGGTGGCCAGCTATGTGTATGACTCACAGGAGGTGAATGTGGCGATGCGTCTGCTCCTGCTTCAAATGCTGCGCAAGCTGCTCCAGCTACTCGCCGCGGATGAGCGTGGCCGGGAACAGCATTTGGGCTGCTGGTGTAGCAGCCTGCTGCAAAAGCTTGAACAGACACCGGGTTCCACTGCCGTTCATCAGCTGCCGGACGCTGTGAATACCGAGGAGTTGTACATTAGCGCCTGGGAGGCGGAGCAAAGCTGTCCCTGCCAGTGGGTTGTGCCGCACAATCTCAGCCGTAAGAGCAGTCGGCGGAAGCGCACCGAATCCCTGCGAGCCGCTGTCGCTGCCGCTACCGCCTCTGCATCCGAAGATAACGACAAGACTTTATATGTAAGTAAAGTCTTGCCCAGAATATTTGTTACCCAATTTATATATATATTTTTAATGTATGCTTGCAGTATGACTGCCTAGAGACACTGACTGTATGTGATGATGGTTCTAGCAGTGACGAGGATAACTTTAGAACGCCGCCAGAGAGCATGACACCTCAGTGGGCCTACCAATTATATATATATGGGTGAGTAACCCAGCTGTCTCATACATTTAAATTTATTTAATATTTATATTAACATGCCCATGCAGCAAAGAGCCAACGAAACGGGATGTTGACGTTCTGAATGCCATTATAAATGTGGAATTGGATGAGGAAACGAGACCGCGTGTCTATGCTTGGAGAGCCAATATGGAAACCTTCTCCGCTGCAGATCTGGAACTCTTTCCGTCGCCAAAGAACGTTCAGAAGACGATAAAACCCGATCACTGCTGGTGGGCTGGCAAAAGCAAACCATCGAGCAAGCCACCCAAGCCCATCGTTGCCATTCTGGCCACACCGAAAATAGGTTCCTTTGATGGCATAATTAAAGGAGGGCGACGTGCCAGCCCCAATCTCAGTATTCAGCCATCACCACCACCAGCAGCACCAGCAGCAGCGGCAGCCAGCTTCATCGGCAATTCATTATCGCCAGTTTCGCCTTTTAAATCTTTGGCGGCTGCCGCGCAGACATTCCCGACGGCGCAGACATTCCAGACGCCGCTAAACAAGGTGCGTGGACTTTTTAGTAAATATCGGGAGGTACGTACCGCCTCCGAGCTGGACTCGTCGAGTGGCAGTGGTCGCTGAGACTACGTTTTAAATTTATTTTTATTTTTTTTTGTAATCAAAATTTGTTGGAATTTGTAAAAAGTTTTTGAAATAATTTGAAATAAATTATGAATATATTTCCCAAGGCAAGTTCTAATTCTTGTTCGTCATTTATGTCGTTAATAATGGAGAGCCCAATAAGGCGTGCCTAATTTTCTATTCGATTTTATAAAGATTTTGGGTACAAATTAGACCAAAACTAAACTAACTCGTAACTGCCTTTAGTAATTTCAACAATGTAGAATTTTTTCGCGAATTAAAAAGCAAAGATTTATTGCTAAAATTAATTAAATAATTAATAATAACACTTGAATATATTTATACAAATAATTAATTTTTGAATATATTTTTAAATTATAGAATAGAATCAAATCTTACTTACAAGCTTTTTATACCTTTCACGGTATTATAATTTTGTTCAGAAGCTTGTAATTATGTAAAGGAGTCATTTCCGATCCTATAAATCATATATATTATTGATCAGCATCAACAACTGAATCGATCTAGCTATTTTTTTAGAAAAACAAAAATTACTACATTTTTTCCAAATTTTATAAGGGGTTATATCGTTAAAATATTAAAAAATTTTGAAAAAAATTTTGTTTCCTGGAAACATAACTAGATCGATAGGGCACTCGATGCTGATCAAGAATATATATGCTTTATAGGGTCGGAAACGACTCCTTCACTTCACTGCGAGTTTATCATACTCTGCAAGGGTATAATTAAGTAATGGGATTCATGGCAATAAGGGACATTCTTGAAAAATTAATGCACTGCTAATTATAAACAATCTCTTCTATAGCATCTATATATATAATATAATAGTCATAGTTAAGACTTACCGCAGTGGAGGGCACATGGTTATCCTTTGTCATCATTCCAGAATTCCATCCAGTGTAGGGTAATATCATCATCGAAGTGCGCTTCTTCCTGGTTATCCGGATGCATTGCATTGGTCAGGTGATACATTTGGAGTCGAAGGGCACTATCACTATCACAACCACTATCACCAGAGATGTAAACAGGGGGGAGGCTGCGCACTTACTGAAGCCGGCGGGCCATCAGTGCCTCTATTTATAGTCCCGGGTAAAGAGAACAGAGAAAGTGAGAGCGAGAGAGAAAGAGATAACTCTAGAGCTAGGCATAGAGAGTTAGAGAGTAGTAGATGTCTCTAGAGAGGGAGAGGGAGAGGCCTAATTTTTAGCATTACGCTCACAGCTTTGCATTTTCCTCGATATTTAAAGATCGTTGGTATGTCAGCTATATGATATAGTCATCCGATTTTAATTAAATTAATACCGATATTATAAAACAATACAAAATAGCTTTATCTTAAATTAGATGATAATATCTTGAAAACGAGAAAAGCTATAATTTTTGTTCTAAATATTTTCCGATTGTTCCTATGGCAGCTATATGATATAGTCGTTCGATCCGGCCCGTTTTAAATTATTAACTAATTAGAGTATATAGAAGACTGGTTGCAAAGTTTTATTTAGAGAGCTTTAAAACTGAGAGGCTAGTTTGTGGAGTGTTTTAACTAAAATTATCATACCCTGCGAGGGTATAAAAAATATCCTTATTTTACATAATATATAAACACTTTCCCCTCTGGTTCCCAACCCTCGATACCCTTCTCTTGAAGACGAATTTCGGGGAAGAGCAAACGAAGATGCAAACAAATTGGTTTCTGTTGCCATTTCGTTCAGTGGTCGAACCACTTTTCACTGGCAAGGCTTTGACAAATGATCGCTGATAAGGAAGCCATCCGAACCGAACCGAACTGAACCTACCTGTATCTGCAGGTGAGGGGCAAAGAAATACCGGCCCGGCCAGAGGATACATTGGTAAGAAGGCTAAAGCGACCATAAAAATAAACGTCAGAAAGCGAACGAAGAGTTAAAGCCAGGTCTGAAATATACAACCCAATACTATTAAGGTACGGGGGTTCTCTTGGATGATTTTAGATCAGGTCCTAAGTATACTTTTCCTAGGGATATTTTATCCTTCCTCCAACTCCATCTCTATAGTTTCTCTTGGGATCTTTTGGGGTTGGAATAACTTAGACTGGAGCGGGCACTTATCCCGACTGGCGCCAGTTGCCTCGATTATCTGACCACCGCCATCAGGTTCTTTTGTTTTGTCCTGAAAATCCCTACCAAAAAAAAAATAAAAAATAAACCCCTCTTTGCACTCTTGTGAAACTTGAGAACACTCCATGGCCATGGCTAGGGAGGGGCCACTAAGGGAACAAAGAGGGTCTGAGCCGTGTCAGAAATTCACACAAGACTTGTGAAGTTTCTCCGTACTGTGGGACTGAAGTGAATGCAAGTTGAGTGTGGAGTGGACAACATCCACAACATGGCAGGGATTTCTTTTTTGCTTGCATTTTTTTTTTTTATTATTTTACTTTATTTTATTTAGTTTTTTATTTTTTGAAAGCGAGGCGGCGCCGGAAGCTGGTCAGACAGCTTTGACCAATTAAACCAGCTATTCATACAGGCATTTATCCATTTGGGACTGATGTATGCTTAGCTGCGATCAACCTAGATTTTCTTTTAGCTTCAGCGGATTTAGGACTAAAAGTCTAATTTATATATTTTTTAAAATATATAAATGCATATTGATACAACTGTGAAGAAGCTGGATCAATAGAGGCAGGAGCCTCTCCTTCAAGATTATCCAGGATCTCCCATAAACAGTCTGAAGTTGCTATCATCTTCAAAGATAGGAACCCTATTATAAAGCTTAAAAAATACGCTGATTAATGTTCTAGAACCTTATTAATTTGAGAACCCAACAAGTTGATATGGAAAATGTATACATTTTTGTATAAATTGCGGTGTTGTCATCAAGGAAATATCTTGATTTGGGAATGTATGTCTTGACTTCCTTGTAAAAGGTTAAGTTCTCCAAGGATTTCATTTGTGTGCCTCTAAGTCCAATACCATAGCATTTGTCGTCGGCTTGGTGCGGATTTTGATCTTGGGGTCAGCATTACCTTTGGACATGTCTTTGGAAGTGGTGATGGTCCAATTGTGTTTTGGCGTAAGACCTCAATTGGTACTTTATTATTGAGGAAAGTGTTAGGTTGACCCTTCGGCTTCTCCTTAATTGGAGTGGTCACCTCTTTGACCGGAATTGGTGGCGGAACATTTAAAGGTGTATATGTGAGTTCCTTGGTGACTCCGGAGACAGGCATGGGTATCATTGAATAAAAAAGGGGAGTGGAGCGAGTACTCTCGATCTTCAAATCAGTTGTCTTTGTAGGTATTTCTATATCCTGAAGTTTCGACGACTTGGTATCATCCACCAGAGACTCCACCCCTACAGTTTCCAAGGATGATACCACATTATCGATATTCTTTCGAAACTGGTTCAACTTGAGGAACATATCAGAAAACAAATTATCAAGTTCCTTTACAGCAGGCAAGTCCTCGCGGGTTTCTTGGGAATAGAATGGGGAGTGGTTATATTAGGACAAAAGAACTCCCTTATGGCACATTTTCCAACTGAATAAACTTACTTTTTGTTTCTCGCTTAATCTCTGCCATTTTTCTTTTTACTATCAATTCAATTTAACTAGTAAAAATATATTTTTTCCGTTCTGTTGTGGCTGAGTGAAAATTCGGAAACTGAATGGAAAAATCTCGAAAGAATTTTCTGCTTTTTAAATGTAAATCTCAAGGACTACTAGATGGTGACTTTAAATAAATAAATCGATAACAAAACTGAAAACAAATTTTCCGTCTGTTTAGAAACATGGAAAAGAACAGAATGAAGTTTTAACGGTGTATATTTTTATGAGATTTACTTCATAAGGAAATGGAAAAACGACATCTTTGAATTTTGTCTTAAGGATAAATTATCTGTGTGATAAATTGGTTATATGATATATTTGCTATATTATATATATAGGTAGTCCTAGCTCTTATATCTTTGAGGGTTCAGGGCAGACAGAGAGCTGGACATGACTAAATCACATTTTCCAATTATGCTGAAATAGAATATAATTACATATATATTTGAGAGGATTGGAAACAGTGCTTTTTACAGCTTTTCCAGTTGACATCATGATTTAATACTCTATAATATACTATATAATAAATTGATGGTTAAAAACAGACATCTCAAATCAAACCTCAAAATCTAGTTACCTTTTAAGTCTAACAAATATTTCCATATAATTAATTATTTTAGCTTTTGCAGTCTGCGATTCATACTATGCCTGGTAAGAGTATATCCATCTAGATAGGATATATTAACTGCCCCAATTCGAGACTCAATCAGAGGCATGCAAGCGTCAGTGCATAAACAATGAAAGGCTTTTAGGGCCAACAAAAAAATTAAAACATGAATGCTATGGCACTAATGACCCACGCATCGATTCCAAAAACCGAACCAAACTAAACCCTCCTCCATTAATCCGACTTTAGGTCAGTCATTGCGGTGACTTTGAATCGACTGGGACTGGGTCGTCGGCGAGCAATGTTCCTGAAACGGAAATGCCGCAAGAGAAACGCCATCCGGTTGCGGAAATGCCATCCAGGCGTCGGCACGCCCTCGAGACACTGGTCATCTTCCGGCGTAGCCTCATCTATCAGACGAAGGAGTTCTTCCAGAACTCAACGCTGCACGGTGTTCGCTATATAGCCGAATCGGGTAGACCCATTGGTGAGAAGTTCATGTGGTTCTGTTTCACCTCAATTGGAGCTGTCACCGCATTGGTCATCATTATGAGTCTCTGGGAGAAGTTCCAAACGAATCCCACTATCACCGGTCTGGATACGGATTTTCACAATCAGAATGTTGTCTTTCCCACCACCGTTGTCTGTCCAGAGGCAGCCTTTGACCATGACAAAACCGAAGCTGTTGTATACAAGACCCTGGCGTGAGTATCGACCCATAGTTTGCAACCTTTGACCTTTGGGGTCATAGATATAAAGGAGTCATAGATATAAAGTTGTGTACCTAATTCCCCTTTGATAATAGAAACTACGACGAAGACGAGGTTCCCAAGTACACTTCATTTCTGGAGGTGCTTACTTCACTGAGCTTTGAGAGAATTGGTGATGCCAAACTTCTGGCCCAGTCAATACCCAAGGTCAAGCTGGAGGAGAATACCCTAAGGCAGTGGGCCTTCGAGGCTCATATAAGCTGTGAAAGTACCTTTGTCTCCTGCAAATATCGAGATGAGGAGATACCCTGCTGTGAGCACTTTGAACCCATTTACACAGAACATGGATTTTGTTATGCCTTCAATAGTCGCTTCAAGTCAACGGCCACTGAGGAGTGAGTTAAATTATTACACATATTAATTAATTTGATTAATTTTATTAACTCTATTAACTTTCTTTTGTTTCAAGTGTCAAGACGGGAGCTCCCCATGATCTTTACGAGACGGACAAAAAGTGGGCACTCTTCTTTGTGCCTAATAGCACTTCCAGGGTAAGGTTCTTTGGGCTTAGTTCTTAATTTAAATCTTAATTAAACATCCTCTGAAAAGATCTTTATATTCTCAAATGAGGAGTATTTTGGCTCTGACTTTAATGCCCAGATCGATTGGTCAGAGAGTCAGCTGGTGGAGGTTAGGATATCCAAGAAGAATACCTACACCACGGATGATGCTCGGCAGCTATCTATTGGGCAGAGGAAATGCATTTTCAGTGATGAGGTTAAGCTCAACTATTTCCCAGATGCATATACCTTCTCCTCCTGCATGAAACAGTGTCGGATGAACAAGGCCATAAAGCTTTGCAAGTGTAATCCACCATTTTACAAGCCCATAGGTAAGGCCAGAGAAAGGTAGATCCTAAGCATCTTATTAATTTACGTACCTGTACAAACATTATCTGAAAATAATGTTGATGGGATTATATTTATTTCCTGCTCTCAGTCAATGTTCCCATGTGCATGCTAAAGGATCTGGATTGCCTCAATGAGTTCAAGGCGAATATCACCAACATCAAGGACTGCCTTCAGTGTGAGCTTAGCTGTTCAAAGACCGTTTTTAACATTGATAAACTCATCAAAATGTAGGTTTTTCTTCAGTTCTTCTTTGATATTCTATTGAAATCACCTTCTTCTGGCTCTTACCTTAGTGTGGACCGGCCAGAGAGCACAGGTGTGCTGGTGGAGTTCCTTACCTGGCCCATTATCCGATATAAACGTGAAGTTCTCTTTGGTTGGGTGGATCTTCTGGTGTCTTTCGGTGGCATAGCCAGTCTTTTCCTAGGATTCAGTCTACTCTCCGGAGTGGAGATTATCTACTACTTTACACTTCGTGCCTGCTGTATGGTCTATAAAAATCGGGTAAGTCAGCAGGGTTGCAGAGGTTATATCATTTCTTAATTTAAAAGTATCTGATAGATCACGGCCTTATTATCTTCTTTATTTGTAGCAAGAGCTCTATGAGATCGAGGAGCGAATTCGTCGTGAACCACCGCCCAGTATAGATCTCAAATTGAGTTTGAGATCACATTCAAAGCCTCAATTTGGTGACACGCCCACATCGGCAGTGGTTCAGGTGAAACCAGCCATTGAAGGTCAGAACTTTGGGTCTCAGGGTCCTTTATGGGTCCATCAAAGGAGAAACGAAAAGGTTAGTAGGAAATTATATTATAAAAATGAATTTATTTCTAGCTTAAATAATTATAGGATTATATTAACCAAACAAAGAATTACTATCGTACACCCAAAGTTTTACCCGATCATGGTTACACCAATAAGACAACCAATCCCTGGACAACCTACGATCATTCACAATATATGCCCTGAAGTTATCAAAAATAAATATATAAATATAAATAAAACAAAATAAAATACCTCAATCTTAAATTTAAAGATCAACAATATGGATTAAGAAGCAACAAGGACAAAAGAAATCATACAGAAGTTTCTAAGCTTTTACAAACTTATTAAAGTTGATATAATTTGATAAAAAACTGTCATAAATGCTGAACTCCATGAAATATTAATCACTAAAAAATATATGGCTTTAATTACAACAATAATTTATTTAAAAAAGCCTTAAATCAAATAAAATATATATATTTATATGTATGGGAAAAATATATACTAATACCCAGCACCGCATTTCCTTAAAGGATTCAACTCAAAAAACAATGTATGAGCAGCTGCGGAAAGTAAATAGCATTTACTCGGAATTTTTTTATTTGCACCTTAATGTATTAGCCACATATAATTAAAAATTTAAATAATATATATATATATATATCCCCTAATGAAAGCGAATGGTGGAAAATTGTTTTCGATGGATTTTTTTGGCTACCAATTAAGCTCCTTGTTCCGTGTTGCATACTTAACAGCGGGCGGCGGGTTCATTGCACCCATGGTGGAGGCGGGGCCAACTAACCGCCAAACCGCCGACCCACAGTGGCCGCCAATATGCTCCCATCTCCAAATTCCAGCTCCCAGGTTCCAGCTTCAGCTTGAGCGCCAGTCTCCCGGCTCCCAGCTCCATCCGCTAAACCCAAAGTCCCAGGGGCCGAGGACGAAGGCGTACATACCTCAAAACTCACTCCCAAATGGCATTCACAGCCACAGCTCAGCGAAAAGCGAAAAGCATTTTCCAGTTAACATCGTTGCCAGCTCATTGTTAATTCCTAGCACTATTGACTGCACTGAGAGAAAATAGGTGGAACGGAATAGGAGTTACAGAAATTTGATAAAAAGAATATAAAGAAAATGGGATCACAGGGAGAAGATCTAGAGACCCCAAGGAAGTCTAAGCTGAGATAGCATTTTAAAAGAGAAGGAAAAACGAACAGACGGACAAGCGAACGGACAGACGGACAGACGTGCATGGCTAGATTGACTCAGCTCCTGATGCTGATTAAGAAAAACTGAAAAACTCCTAAAGAGCTTTGGAAACTCTTCTCTGATTTATAAAATATGCCAAATATTCAAACTAAAATTCCCCAAAAATCAACAAGAAGCGTATAATTTTAATCTCAGTGTGTGCAGTGTCTGCGTATACGTAATTTTCACTGTTTCTCACACAAGTGTGTGCCTATATGTGTGTGTGTGTACTGGTTGATGCGTGTGCATGTGATCTGGTGGCTGCGATTAGAAAATGATTTACACCTATGACAGAAATCCAGGAGAATTGCAAAACTGGTTAAAAGGAAAACGAAGGTTGAAGAAGCTGCCACGAAGAGGCAAAATCAGAAATATTCTTGTTCTTGGCAATAACACATTTTATTATTATTAACGTTAATGTCGCCCCTGGGATGGCACTAACTCCCGGCTACACATAAAAGCCTCTTATTAATAAGAAATTGCCATAAACTACATGGTCCTGTATGTGCACTTAAAACAAAATTGCTTTTAAAGTCAATTTTAAGAGATTTTAGTTACTTAAAAGAGATAAGATCATAGAGAAAGAATTTACACAAACTAAGAGAGGCTTCTTGGAGTACTAAGTTCTCTTTATTTGAGACTCTTTTTCTTTCAGTGATTGCAGGCTTCGTTAAGCAACAGCTGGTGAGGGAGTGAGAGGCTAGGGATAGTGACTTGGAGGAAGGGGGAGAGGCGAGATCCCCAGCCGGCAAGCCAAAAGCCAACTAGACAGACAGGGAGTTGTAAAGAGAGCAGAAGAGAGAGAGAGCGATATATTCATATATATATATATATATATATTTAGAGAGAACCTTTGAGAAACAGCTGGAAGAAGAAAGTCACTCCTTTTACGCTGCTTTCCCCTTATCCCATTCTCCCCACTACAACTCTTCCGCTCTCCCACTGTTGGCCTTGCACTGAGAGTAAATCAAGCGACGCTCCACATATTTTAGTGAGTTGGAAAACCAGTAATAAAGTACAAAGCTCACTGCCAGCTGCAGCTCACCAAAAAACTCACAACCACACACACACACTCGCAGATGCAGCCACATATGGAACCCAATGCTCCGCCGAGTGCACTCTCTCAGTCACGTTACGTTGCCTGATTCTTCCTCTTGGTCCTCTTTCTCTCTCCCCACTCAGTTGGTTGGTGGTTGTTGTTGCTGCTGCAGAAGCCTGCACGCGGGAAAATGCAAAAAGTTCCAGGAGCGGATTCAAGGACTCACAGAGGCCTAAATATAATGCCAAAATATTAAATATATGAGACAAGGCGAAGGAGTTATTGCTTATTATTATTACTTAAAAGTTCGAATTAGAAAAGGGTAAATATAATCAATTAACGTATCGATTCACACCTGTGTCCTCTGTTCCCTTTCTCCCTCTTAGTTGCGCCCTCTGACTCCCCCACCCCCTCTTTTTACTACCGCCCCTGTGTTGTTTGCTAGGCTCAAAACATGCGCGCCTAACAAACCAAAACAAAATGCCGGTTTAACTTTTACGTTCTTTGGCGTATACGTAATACGCCTCCTTTGGCCGCAGTCGCTGCCTCTGCCTCTGCCGCTGCCACTGTCTCTGCCCCCGCTGTTTGTGGTGCTGAGATGACAGAGGGAGAGAGAGAGTGCCAGAGACAAAGAGTGGTAGAGAGCGGCGCTCAGCGAGCCGCTAGTTGTTTTTGTCTGATTGGAGCTACTACTAAAACTCCTCTGCTCAGAGCACAGAATTGCCCTGTTGTTGTAGTTGTTGCTGTCTTTGGTGTTCGGTATTCTTTTTTGTGTTGGTGCAAGCTAGCAGTTCTTGTTCCTTTTCTTCCATCTGCACCACATTCGTACATACACACACAACCAGGAGCATAGCACGGGGCACAGATATAGCAATCTGTTCGTTATTTAATATTGTTTTAAAGTGGTTTTAACTTAACTTAATTGTGTTTCTTATTATGTTTCGCCTTTAATTTGTAGAGGACATATGATTATTCCATAAAACATATTTAAAACATATTAAAACACATATTCATTTGTTTTTAATGCTCAAGTATAGTGCAATATATTAAAATAGTTTAAAAGTATAAACAAAACACTAAGTACATCAAATGTAAGTCTATATTAATTTTTCATTCCCTTATTCGCACTTCGCTACTATTCTGTCGCGCGCGAGTGTCTCTGGTGAACTGCATTTGCGAACGCAGTTGGCGAACGCTGTCGTCCGTTGGATTTCGCCGCAACTCTTTGAGTTGGATTTTGGTGATGCTCGCGCGAGGACGTGCTTTCCTTCTTAATTTTCAGCGCGGTAAAAGTGATACGCGGAAAAGTGCAAAGAGCGTTACTTTCGTCGTTCGGTTAGAGGCGCGATCGAAAACAACATTAAACAACAACATTTATAACAAAAAGTTACATTTTATACATGAGCATACAGTAATTTCGTCAGTGCCAGTGTGTGAGTGTGTGTGTGTGCGCGCGCGGTTCTCCTTTATTTCTTTTTTTCGTGTGTTTGTGTTTGCGATTTTTGTTTTGTGGCAAACTAGTTTCGAGTCAATTGAATATATTCCTCTTTTTTTACTGGCGCTCTTGCTGCAGTCGCTAATTTGCTCACAAAAATGTCTTTGCGCCTAACTGATCGTCGCTAAAGTGTAAGTGCGGAAAGTGTGGGGAGTACGAAGAACACGTAAAAGAAACAGAAACCGAAGTATGTGTGTGTGTAACGAATGCCGCAGGACAGTTGCGGTCACGTGGCAGCTGCCACTTGAGGAATGAAGGGCACACAAAAGAACCGCAAAACGGAAAAACCGCCAAAAACTTGACACTGTTGCGTTTAATTGTGGTGAGTATGTAATTGTAATCATTGCGTAGGCTTAAGATTATAGTTCTCTGATGGCAAAGGGCGCATTTTACATGAAATTTGGCAGCGTACATGGGAAAATAAACCCGTTGGCTTTGGTCAATTTATTCTTTACAAATTAAATAAATGAGGGAATACCTCGCAATCGCAAATTCCTCCTTCCACCCCCCGTTATGATCGCAGTGTAGACACACGGGGCAAAGGCTTGGGCAAGTTCTGGTTGGAACGCCAGCTAGTAGGATGCAGTGTCCAACCAGAAACCAATAGGCCAAGTTTTATCCCATTTATTTGAGGCCTAAAATGCCAACTGGTTTTAGGCCTTAACTAAATGTAAAGAGAGCCTGCAAAAGATGGTGTCGTATGTTTACTAGAATTTATGCTACACTTTATGTAGTTTAGTGTGAATTCTCTCGGCTACAAGAATTTCTTATTAAAACTTGAACCTATTTCTTCCCATATAGAATTTCCACCCCTCTTCGCCCTCCACTAGTCACCTCTCCTCCCACGCTTTTCGTTTCGTTTCGTTTCGTTTTTTTTTTTTGCAAGCGCTCAATGAAGCTTGAAACGCGCTTCTAAGTAATGGCAATCCGCTTTGGCTTTCAAGTTTCTTCTCTCCCTTCATTCTCCCTTCTCTGCTACTTACTTTGCATATCTTGGTGCCGTGTGTAGCCCCTAGGCCTTCTTTTTCAATTCCAATAGAGGAACAGTGGAACAGGGGAACAGGAGAGCGCTAGAACAAGGAAGCATTGGAATAGTGGAAGCATGGGAACTAGGAGGCATTGGAATAGTAGAAGGATTGGAACTAGGAAGCATTGGAACAGCAGAACAGACACATTTTATGGAATAATGAATTAACAGTTATTAGATTTGGAATTTTTGGAAGGGAAGGGAAATAAGCATTGTTAATGTGGGAATGGGACTGTAGTTTAAATAATTTATATATTTGCTTTTATAATTCTTATTCTGTATATCATAAAAGTTTAATAAAAACCCTTCTAAATATATATTTTTTTTATTTTCTTTACAGCCAACAGCTTAAATAAAACATATAATATACACAAGACTAAAACAAATAAATAACAAATGAAACATAACTTAATTTAAACATAATATTGGGCTTAAACGTAATAGATTCTTTTTTGTTTTGTGAATAATGAAAGCTTGCTAAAGTACGATTAATTTTAATTGCCAGAAAATATAAATACCAAATATCAGAATACAATGCCACAACAGAGAAGCAAGGCTGTGCAACCAAAATACCGGAAAATTATAGTGCCACCGAAAAAATATTTTACCATTTAATGTGATTCCCAATTAAGCCAAAATTCGTATTTAAGGCTTTTTTTTCAAGCCAGCAGCAACGAAAAAGTAGTACGAATTCTGTGTAACAAACAAAAAAAACAAAAGCAAAGCCAATTAACTGAAGTTGTATAAAATCTAAACAAAAATAAATACATAAAATTACAAACTAACTAAAGCGAAAAAAATATATAATAATAAAGTAAAAATACCGTTAAATCCCCGTGGGATCGGAGCTAAAGACTGCAGCTTAATTGCGTGATATAAATTTGGAATGACTTTTTACTGTCGTAATCTAAAGTAACACAACAAGGACAAAAATGTATTAATTTAAGGTAAGTTTTTATCACTTTTTGATTTTAAGAATATAATGTTATTTACTGTTTATTAATTAATTAAAATTTGGGAAAAATACAGGAAAACTTTGTAATTGAAATGATGAGTCTGGAGACTGAAACAATTTTAGTTTTCGTGCTTGATTTATTTGTTTAAGTAAAACAAATATTGGTCTTAAAAATCAGCTAATTAAGCTCCCATATTATATATTAAATATTAATAAACTTGACCACATTTTAAGTCTTTTAAAAGGGATTCTGCACTGCGACTATGTTGTGCATCCTTTTTGTTTCTCTTTTTGTTTATATATATTTATTAGCTGCACGCAACTTTTAGCCTGAAATAAAAGTCGTTTGTTGCACTTCTTCTTTTGTGGCTTGGATTAACTAACCACCCCCGTTAGCCACTTTATCCAGCTGCTAAGTGGTAAGGAAGTTGGAAGGGGGTGGGGGTCCCCATCAAGTGGGTGTGTGGGTGTAATGTGCGGCATGTTGGTAATAAAAGTTTCATTGACTTTTGCACTAGAGTTGACTTCAATGGCCTTTTTACAGCCGCTCTTATTTAAGAGCACTTTGCCAACATATATGCATCCTGTTTTAAACATCTTGGTCCTTTTGTTTTATGCTGAGCTTAAGTAAAAGTAAAATTATGAAAATATATTTAGATATCTTTAGTTTATTGCTATAAAATATCAAATTAACATGATTGAAAGTATTGTTTTACGATTTTTAAACTTAACTTTCTGCTAGATTCGAGGATCTTGAGAACTTGTCCTCTGCTGTCTGAGATTTGGTTAGTCAACAACTGTTGCTCTCTTCTTATCCAATGAGGTGGGCGTACTTAATTAGCATTTTTTCTTTTCTTTACCATTTCATCACCAGCATCCTCACCTTTGCCGAGGAAGTAGTAAGTAGTAGCAAAGTAGTGTCATAAAGTGTGTACTTTTCAGTGTCAGAGCAAACATTGTTGCCTCCTCATTAATGATCCTCGCATCCCACTGCCTTTTCCTTTCCCGTCTTACCATCAATTCCACTTTTGGAGTGAGTGTGAGTGGCCAAGGAAATGGGGAACGAAATTCATCAACAATTTCCGCTATTCAAATGAAACAACATATTAGCCTGGCATTTAATTTCCACTTCATCAACATTAAATGAGAAAATATAGTGTGTATGCGTCTTTATTGCATTTATCAAAGTTGTCGAACAAAGGACTGGCAATTAATTAAATTCAAACTTTAATTAATATAGTTTATTATGGTTTTATAAAAGGAAAACTATTAAGTGATGATAAATTTGAACTAATAATCCTTAGAAATATCCCATAAGCAAAAAGTACAGACTTTTATATGGAATTGAGCAAGGGGAAATGCAGGTGCCTGAATATTCCGCTTACTACATGCTCAATGGGGAATGCATCCTTAAGGTCCTTCCTGTTGCACATGAAATTCAACACTGAATTCGTTTGCCACATGAAACAAGGTCCAACTGGGCAGTTATACTAACCGTACACTGTGCGAAAATACTACCAATAGCCTGCAATTTAGTACATTATTTTTTAATGATTAAATTAATTTACTGCAATACTTATTACATTTTTATATATATAATTTTTAAACCATAAATTATCAAATTATCTTTACCAAATTTGATCCTTTTTATGGCTTCCTTACTTTTAAAAGCCACCTCTGCTCAATTTTAGTGAGTTTGCTGAGTTTCAGCAAACGTTTGACTTTGTCTCGGGTCGATGGATTCTCGACAACTGACATCTGGCGTATATATATGTAGAGTGGATAATATGTAAACATAGCTGGTCCAGCTTTATGTCCTTCTCCATCCTCAGACTGTGCCTGTGAGTCCTGTGTGTCCTGTGTACGGCTTCTCTCTCTCTGTTTGCGGCTGCTGTTTGCCTGACTTTCATTTTGAAAACATATTAATTTAAATGAATTTGTGTAATCGCTTCATTTCGCTCTTGTTGTTGCTGTTTTTTGTTGTTTTGTTTTTATTTTTCTGGAAATGATTTTTATTTATTGTGCCTGGCGCAACCTGGCTTGTTTGCCCATTTGTCACTCGCCTTCTACTGCCGCACTTCATCAGCGTGTTTGTCAACACTTTTTATTCATTCACTCTGCAGCTCAGAAGTGCAAGTTAAAAATGAGTCCAGGACAGGCGACAGGACGAAAAGGAACATTAAAGAGCATTTAATTTGTTGTTTAACTTATTTTTAGTTAGAAAATACAGCAGCCACAAGCTGCCAAATTGATTTAAATGCATTCAAAAATAGATTTTCATTTTAATGAATAAGTAATTATCAGCTTAACCAAGGATTTTGTTGAATATAAATTATAATGCGTCATTATTAAAAATTTAATCAATAGATTATTATAATTTTAGGGATTTTCCAGGGACTGTATTGTTCTTTTTATCCAGTTTTTTATTTAGCTTTCATCAGAATTTAATGGGAATAATTTTCTTTGCATTTTTTTAACACTATAAAAGTTGTGTTGTTAATTGCTTTATATTGTTAACTTTATTGTGGGGGCTCACAAGTATTTGTTTCAAGTGGCTTTATATATTTGTTTATTCATAGTCCTCGTCTCTGGCTCAATGGACTAATTGTGTCTAGACGTCGATCGAGTGCAAAACTAAAGTTTTGGCGAAAGTTTGAGTTAAGCGATTGTTTGGCTTTTAGGGATGGAGGACCTCTAGAGGTCCACTTGTGGTTTTGAACACGCCTCGTTGGAGGAGGTTTCTCACCCGGTTCAATTGTTGGTAGGAAAATCAATCATCTGGTTAATTTATTGGTTTCAAGAGCTGTGATTTTGATAAATATTTGTACATTTCAAACTCAAATTAAATTTTAAAGCTCATGATGTAGATATACCTATTTCATAACATATACACTTTTAGGTTATTTTACTTTTAGTTCAAAGCTTACAACGTGTGAAGGAGCCATTTCCGACCCTATAAATCATATATATTCTTGATCAGCATCAAAATCCGAATCGATTTGGCCATGTTTTTAGGTGAAAAAAATTTACTCAATTTTTTCAACATTTTATAAGAGGTTACATCGTTAAAATTTAAGAAAAAAATTACTTTTTTTTACATATTAAATTTAGTATGCAGATTTGTTAAGCTTATAAAAACTAGCACAGCACTACTTTCCGAATCGAAATTCTAGCATTTTTGGCGTAGTTATGATATTTTTTGTCAAAAAATTATCATATATAAATATAGAAAAATATCTATTTACAAATACGAAAATCTAGATCTTCTTGAGGGCATAAGTTGGTCAATAAGACAGTGTTGGGCAAAAGTCTTATATATTCCTATTCACAATTAAAATTTTAATAATTCCGTCTAAAAAATTGGATCAAATTTTTCAAAAATTTGAAAAGGGGTTACATCATTAAAATTGCCAAAATTTCAATAAAATTTCCAATATTTTTAAATTTTAAATTCAGAATGCAAATTTATAAAACTCTTAAAAACTAGTATACAAATACTTTCCGAATTAAAATTAATGCTTATTCGACTTAGTTGCGGTTTTTTTAAACTTCGTTATGCACAAACAATTAGCATACAAAAATATTGATCAACATAAATTTATATGTATATTTTTTTGCGATTTGTCCTTAAAATCTTTATTAATTAATATTGGAGCTCATTATGCTAGTGTTGTTAACCTAACAAAAAGTATTTGTCGCAATAGAGTTTAAATATTGGTCGAGAAAAAGTGATTTGAAATGTTTTTTTAATTGTAAGCTTTACAAAAATTTAAATAAAAATACAAAATATGTTTATAATCGATTATCTCAGTGTAAAATAACGAAAAACACACCTTTACGCTCTTCTCCGACTCCCCTTGGTTAGCAGCTCTGATTTAGAGATGTGTCTGCTTCGTACAGATGAGCCACGCCCCCTTAGCCGCTATGGTTAAGGGGGCAATCGACGAATGGAACACAGAAAATTGAACGAAAGGCAACAAAGTGCTTACAAAAAGGCTTCTACCACTTTTAGATACGATGCTCCGGTGTTGGGTGGTCGTAAATTATTATGATTATTGGCAGAGGAGTTAATGTTCAACAATGCTAAAGCTAAAGAGTTGGGCAAAGAGCTCAGATCAGGCCAATCGGCAACTTGTTAAGGCCATAGAAGTGTACACTGTGTGGAAGGTATATATATTTAAAGTTCCTGAAATATATTTTAGAAAATAACCAGTTTTGAACAGTTTTAGACTAAAAAAGTATTCAACTTTGCTATTTTAATTAATAATCAGTTAGCCACAATCAAGTGTTGATAAGAAGAATATATTTTAATATATATTAACCACTTTTCTCTCTGTATATGAAATACATTCGTAAATAAGGCCACAAAACGTGCTGGCACGATCGTGAATTTTTGCTACTGCAAGGAGTTTAAAGATTCTCCAGCAAAGGGAAACGGGATCTCACCGAGGATATCTCTGGCGATTCACGTAAAATTATAAATGGGTCTTGAGAGTCTCTTGGGTAGGCGTTTCCCCGATATCCGCAACAGGCGTTGGAGGAGCATTCATTAAACGGCTGTCACTTGGATCGAAAATATATATATATATATATACAGAAAAAAGAAGGAGGCTGGTGTTTAGAGGTGTATCCCAAGGAATGAAGAAAATATTAATTCGTGACGAGAGCACAGTTCTTCGACTTTATTAGCGCCTTCAAAAGAAATCGAATCGAAGCACACAGCACAGACAGAAAAGAAAACAAATTAAAAAAGGAAACACATTTTTAACACCTCAAAAGTCAAGGTAGACGGACGTGATGAAGCTATTGGATTACACCACAGAAATCGACAAAAATAAAACTGAAAAAGCTGAAAAGCTGGAAAGCGATCCAAGCGAGAGGAGGAGGCTCATTGATAATGATCATCAATGCCATATTTAACGCCATTTAGGCAGCAGGATCGGAATGCCCAGAGGGCAGAGAGACGGCTTTTTGTCCAGGTTGGAGCTTGGA